TCTCCAAAGCTACAAGGGATGCCTGGGTGTTATCCGGCGTCGCGGGTTGGCTGTGCTAACATGCTGTCGGAAAGGAGAATATTAGAAATATTTGTTTGAACATAGGGGATTGAGAGGTGTATTCATTCACCAATGAGAGGAGTGTTTATGTAGAGGAGTGGGTTTAAGAACTACAGCTCAATGATCTGATCATATGTTTTACTAATTGATTGATGGTGGTCCATGACTTTTGAGAGGGCACTGTACAAGTAATATAAAAATTTTTATTAACACTCCTTTATTTGGAAATGTAAATGCAGCTCAGTTCTCATAATAATAAAGAATCTGTTTGCAACACAATATTTCAAAGTTGATGACTGGCTGAAGACGTCATACATACAGTCATGTTACTGTAACCAATTTCTGAAGATCTTGGGGTAGTTGTGTAAAACTCTGCATCAGAGATCATTCAGAAGTCACAGGACTGTGGCATGACTAGTATATAATACCTTTAAGGATACTGATCAGCACTGCTTTCCCAAAAAAATTTCAATAAACATGAGCACAGCATATGATGCCAACTATGCAAAGAAGGAGTATGAAGAGGCAAAGGGGAAGCTGGAGATGTTCGAGAATGACAATGATGGTGGGAAGTGGCTAAAGGCATTATAATTAAGGAGAAAGGTGTGCGCAGGCAGGCTCAGTGACAGCAAAAGAGATGAGAGGGAGAGACTGGAGCAGGAAGAAAAAATGTTGAAGGCGAATGTGGAATACTGGAAAAAAGAAATGAAGAGGCTGTTCAACCTCTCAGCCAGGTAATGACTTTGTGACTTAGGCATTGGGGACATTGAGTAGTGTGTATGTAGTAATATGGTATTGTGAGTTTGTTGGGAGAATGATACTAAGTCAGTGTTTACACAGTTCTATGGAGAAGGTGGCATTGGGAACATAGAGTAGTGTGTATGTGGGGTAGAGTAGACATAGTAACATGGCTTTCTTATTATATAGTATGAGAACATGAATTTGTCAGTGAATGGTATTGGAGTAGACTTTGCATTGCTTCATGATGCTAATTTACACCTCCATTGACATGTAATCCGTGTTATCTCAAGGCACAAAGCACACACTGCAGGTCTTATTGTTATTTCAGACAGTTGCCTAAATGAGATTTTGCAGAACTGGTATACGAATAACATCAACATATTGCACAGCCCTCCCTCCTCAGGCAAGACAACACTTGCTAAAGTGCTTGAACGACATCTCACAAGCAAAGGTCACACAGTTAAATACATCACGCTTGCTCATTGGAAAAGAACTGAATTTCCTGATCTCCTACATAATAATGATGCCTTTGATGCATTTTGGAAAAATGAAATTCAGTGCACATGGTCTGAATGCACCAAAAGCAAGGATCCAATATTTATCCTCATTGACGAAGCTCAGGTACTCTATAATGGCAATGGGTCTTTGGATTTCTGGACTCAAATAAAATATTTTACTGACCATCCAAAAAATGGCTTACATGTACTCCTACTGAGTATGTATGAGAGTCAAAACGCAGGAAGCGCTATCCTTAATGACAGTTATACCCCAATTGACTTCATTAATCCAATGGGATTAGATGAATTGCACCTAAATGAAAATGAGTTTAAGGATCTAACAAGCAAATTCATTGAATATATTGATAAAGAAGAAGACACTTTCATTATGCCTGATGATATGCTCAAGTCTGTCTACAGTTCAACTCGCAGACACCCCCACCTAGTAAGACAGACTTTGGAATACCTACAATGGCAGTATTGATGTGGTCTCAGAGATGATGACTTCTGACTCTCTATGGTTTCATTTGATTATTTTCTTGAGATACAGAGAATGAGAGTGTTTGATTGGATGACAAATTGGAAGCCAACTGAAGTTGTAGTTGATACCATTTTTCTGAAAATGGCATATGATATGGTTGATGATGATTCAACATTTGTTGTAGATACAAAGACTGCTGAGATGCAGGAAGCTCTTAGAAGGCTCATGCATTCTGGCTTAGTAACTTATTCAGGCAGAAGCTGGTTACAGTTTGCAGCCCCAGTTGTCCAAATCATCATGGGCCAGCACCTTTATGCCCCATCATTAACTTTGGAGTCAGATGTAAGCTTTGAAGCTTTTCTACAAACCAGCATCAAACATATGCGACCCTCAGAATTGCACAAATCTCTTAGCTATGGAATAGACAGTCAGCTACTTGAGAGAGCTTGGCAGAAAGCGTGGTTGATGGCTGCAAGCACAGCCATTCCAAGTGGTCACACAATCAGTCCTGATGTTGGCAGAATATTTGGTTCATCTGGATTTCTTGATTTCTATATCAATGGGGGACTCAAATGGGAAGTTGAGTTAATGCAAGAGGGTCGAAGGATGGGTGATCATGTTGACTGCTTTAGGTCAACTGGTAGGTACGGACAATTCCTTTTTCAAGGTGGGCTATTATCGACTTCCGCCATAATTCCTTGAGGCCAAATTCCAAGAAGTTGGATCCGAATGTTTGGTATGCTTTATATGCGGATGACTATAGTACTATGACTATCATTCGACATGGCAAGGACGAGATGTTACTTACCTTACGCGGTGATGATCCCCAGCTGTTTCCTAAAAATCGATAAACAAACAAAATGCATCGCCATGCCAAATCGACGTTCTCACTCATTCGCCTTAGCTTTTTTCATGTACATATCTTCTGCAACATTCTTGCATTTCAATACCACTGCATTATAACATAATAAGAAACTTATCAAAATAATTGCTTGATCGAATTTTTTAATACAAGAGTTACCAATTTTCTTCTCGCTTTGTAAAAAGACCTTGCCACTAATGGTAAGAATGATAAACGAAAGAAATCAATAAAATAAACAAACTGCTGAAGCATAAAACATATATATAGGATTACCCGTATATGAAAAATTATAATTATAATGGTTTGACTGATACGAAAAAGCAATACGTTTCTTAGAGGTAAGTTGCAATTGTGGTTGCTCAAAAAAGATTCCGAGAGAAAATTTTGCCGAATTACGTGAATCTCTCTAGGTCTGAACAAGACATATTTTTAATGGCCCAACTGATAGCGATGAATGGTGGAGAAATAACGGCCAGCCGACGTCTGAAAAAGAAAACGTGTACTAATAAGCGAACCTTTTATTATTGAGATCGCAATACTTTGCTTTGTCAAAAAACGTATCTCAGTATCACTTCGAAAACGTCAGAAATCATCTAGCAACGAATGGTATAATACCGCACATTCACAGTAACATTAAACGATACCGTGATGCTATATCTGTGAAAAATTTTCTCGAAAATTATGCTGAAATTCATGGGCTACCAAGTCCCGGTAGAAATGTCAATCGCATTACTCAATCACTTATACTTTTACCAGCGCGAAAACCAGCGCGAAACGAGTTATAAATCGGTCTATCGTGATTTTATTGCAGGTCTCGAAAACGATAGCACATTGAAATTGTTTAAAATACGATGCATTTCGCAAGTTATGGCATCAATTAACGCCTTATATTCAAATCATGAGTCCAAGAACTGATGTGCCAACATTTTCGGAATGGCTTACAGTATAATGCTCACAAGGAAGAAGAAACAAAAGATTTACTAAAAAAATTAAAGAACATTTAGTTAAGGCTAAATTAGAGAGAAACTACAGTCGATTGCCGATAATTTGATCTGTCGAATTAACGTAAAGGTCAATATACAATCAAATGTACTTGATGGTAACACAATTTTATTATTAACATAAGAAACTTGTAATAGATGGTTGCTTAAGCAAAGATAAACGATGCAATTCAATTTGATTGATAAGACTGTCAAATCCTCTGTTTTAAATTCGACGTTTTCTTGTTGTTCGAGAAATATCAGTGACCTTTTAAGTGCATCTTCACCTTCGTTAAGGGAAAATTTTTCGATGCTTGCATGTATTTTCATTTTCCGTATTGGAGTCGTTCTCTGCGAACTTACAACCAAAAACTTCTTGTATAATCTCATTGTCGTCAAGTGCTGCGCGTTCGCATTTTCCGCATTGTCAACGGCAATAAATTCTGTGGTTTTAAACAGCATGGGTAACATTAATACGAACAAAAATAGGAAAATATTGTAAATAATTAACATTACCATTAGCACTCAACGTAACATAAGACTTTTTTTTCGATCGAGGCATTTTTGGATGGAAACAAACATATGATGGAATAAAGAATCAGAATTTTATTATAAATTAGTGCCGGTCGGATAATTGAAATTTTTTATCACAAAATTAATACAGCCCAAAACCACCTGTCTTTAAATCTTTCAGCTCAACGTAGAGGCGTCTTTTTGGAAAGTCTGCCAGTAATTATGTTTATCGCAACATGCTTTACAAAGTTACTGGCTGGTTTGTCATAAAAACGCCTCTGCGTTGGGTTGAAAGGTTTTAAAGTTGGAGTACGTTTTATAATAATATATTAGGCTTCTCCGAAAAATTGAAACACATCTAGTGGATGCGATCATTTCCAATTGGTGATTTGTGTAGCCTGTGAAAAGTGATTTTGACGATTAAATTTCTAAATCGAGGCGATATTAATATTTCAAGTGAAACAGAAACTATCAAAAAATTCGTTAACATTATCTGGTAATCGACGATGTGATTTATACTTCTTTACCGTCAATTCCTATAATCGTGCATTATTCCGACAAAATAATCCGATAATTTCATAAGCATCCGAAAATATTACCAAATCATCACATGATATTAAATTAATGAATTTTATTAGACAGTTTTTTCGTTACACTGCATCTCCGAAATTGGAAAAGTCACGTGAAAATGCTATAGGTTTGTGATCGCGAACGCGTAGTAGCAGAACTTGTATTCTGGCTGTCTCGTACCAAAGCTTAACTTGTCAAGGCTCTTCGACCAACCCACAAAAAATTGGACATACGATGCCATCGCGGCAAATTATTGTATCGACGATAATGTTGGTCGCGCTCTGAAAGTATTAAAACAGGACCTTCAGCAACGTGCAGAGAGAGGAGATTGCGACGTCCGGCTGGCAAGTATGTAAAGCATTGCATAAGTTCAGATGTCTTTTGGGTATCGTAGCATCTAGCTGGGTTACTGCGTGTCACCCAGTGATGGTCGCGTTCCGATGCTTCTTTGGCAGCTAGCTGGGTTACTGCGTGTCGCCTAGTGATGTCGCGTTCCGCTGCCGAAGGTGCCCAAAGGATCTACGCGAATATTATCTGATATTCTGACTATGTATTATATGGGCGTTTCTTTTTCTCTTGAACAAGCAACTAGTCAAAGCTGTGAAAAACCACTCAAATATTAGCAAATCAGGGTGAGTATTTGAATTCCTGCTCAGTAATCCCTCAAACAAACACTTTTAGTTACGATTTATAGCACAATGCAATCATTGCTACTCACGGATGGAGCAGAATCAATGTCGAAGGTTCGCGCAATAATTCTTAGTGATATTGATTCTCAAGCGCAAAGCTGTCAACATTGATGATAGTTATTCGTAAGTGTTGTTGCCACTATTGCTGTCTTGAAGGATTTCGCTGGACACATTGGTTCATTCTTGTGCATTGAATAGCTTGCTTGTCAGTATGTCATTCCTAAGTATGTCTTGTTCGTTGATTAATGATTTACTTTTTTTCAGATAGCTTTTGCCTTTCCAACAAAAAGAGATCCTCTACACCTTTACCAATTTTACAGCCATAATCACCTACACCATCCAAAATGACCAACATTTTTTCTGATGAAGATGATGAATCTGACATATTTTTTTCTGATACTACATTTGCGTTTGACTGCCCCATAATAACAATAATCAATGACTAAATTTGGGACCATCACCTCGAAAAGAGTCCAGATGGTTCATAAGTGGCATGGATGTCTCGGAAAAATGGCATTCGTTTAAGGAACCGCATCAGCTATCAAGTACTCAATTACACGATCAAAGAAAGTTATCAACATCGATAATCATATTACAAGTGCAAGAAGCTAGAAGAATTATCGGAACATGAGGAACAGTTACCCGAAGGTCTTTTGTTTCTTGCATTTGATAATGAACAACGTGGGACAAAAGACCTATCTTGATCGTGGATTTAATACAATGGTTTACCATATTGTTACTATTACCAGTTTCAATATGGCATAACAAAATTCAACACACCGATTCACCTGGGCTTATTTTCTTGATAAGTTACAATACGAAGAACTTTATGATGTCAGCTCTGAAATGCAGGATGCCATCGACAAAGAATTATATACATATGTTTCTGAGATTCTTACTTTGTTATCTAATGAAAAATTATCCGCAGCCAATACCATCGAGTCTATTATAGCAGATGCAGCAACAATATTAATTAACAGCATGAAAAACTGTAATCGACAGAACATCGAGAATGGATAACAGATATGTCCCACCTGCAGAATGCGACTGCCGACGTTGACTGAAATGCAGCGACAGGTCAGGAACGATGTAAGCCGTCATACTAAATCGCCTAATATTAATTACTTCAAAAACAATCATTATACTGTGTATATATAATTACCTACACATGTTTAATAATATTACGACAATTGTAATTAATGAATTTTGTTGCACTTTCAGCCTGTCCTTTGTTCGATGTAGTGGTGTACTTCCCAAAGATTTTAAATTACGAATTCAAGATCGGTACGCAAAGAAACACGCGAGCGTTTGTGTCTAACCCAAAACTCTATAATTCATTGTTCGATATTTTGTGGAAAGCGCCAGTTGTACAATCGCCATGAATAAAGTTCCACACGATCTACAATGTTTGAGAAGTACTGCATTAAAAACTTTCGCATAAACGGTTATTCGATTAAAATATGTCCGGCATATCGCGTGTTCAGTTGGAGTCGTGCGATTGCAGCTGTTTGCGTTTTGAGAGTCCGACATTCAACTTCAAGGACGAAAATAAGCTTCATATCCACGCTTCTTTGGCCTTCCCCTTTGTCTAACGCTACCATTATTGTCGTATTAGTCCCATCCGATGCAGTCAGTTTACCCAGTCACTTGAAGCCGGAGTTGAAGCCTGGGGCATTAATTTCACCCGTGCGGATGAAACTCTCATTGGCAGATGGTCTCAACTTTGGCATAAAAATCTGCAACAGTAATAGACCAAACATCTTTGAAGCTGAAACTTTGATGATATAGACTGCGCACTTTTCGATCTCTCATCCTGCCCCGATTCGATCTCCAAACAAGGTTATATCACAGAGTATCGCTTATTACACATATTAATATGTCGAATTTATTAAATTATCTTTCATTATACAAAGCTAGAAAAAAGTCGAGACGCAAAAAGAAATATGCAAAGGTATTTTACAAGAACGTAATCAAACGTGTGATGGCTGAAAATTCACAGTTGCGATAAAGGGGAATTTAAATAAGAATAATAGTATACAAGAAAAAAGTGTAATTAATAAATGGTGTGAGTAAAGAATGTTATCCGATTGTAAATATCTGAGTTCGTGACCAAAATAATTCTATTGCCACTTAAAACAAATGTAATTTTAATTCTAGAAACACTCTATGAGGGAGTAGGTGGGAGTGACTTGTCCATAAAAGAGCTATCTATACTTCCTCCATGAATCCAGGACGGCTTAATTACATTCAGATGGAGATTAGGAGCAGACATATTGCGTCTTAGGTTGATGCTCAATTCTGTTATCGCAGGATGCACGTTATTCATACGTTTTGGGTATACAACGTTAGATGAATTATGTCCGTTTCCATTATAATAACCGCCACGGTGTTGATTATCATTGTCCGTTGCTTCAATCCCATACCCGTCGCACTCCCTTTCAAACTCACTATTAATACTATTATCACTCCTTTCCGACAGCATGTTAGCACAGCCAACCCGCGACGCCGGATAACACCCAGGCATCCCTTGTAGCTTTGGAGAATTATTTGCTGACGAGTTTCTTGAAGTGTTTGTACTACTAACTGTCGCTGCAATTGTGCTTGTCTGTGATGATATGGATGATACAGAATCTCTTCGTGGCGCCAGCATCCTTCGTGTAAGATTCGAAAACGAAGCCATTGATATTCTGTTCTGGGATGTGGAAGTCGTGTTGTTATTGTTGTTATTGTTGTTATTGTTGTGATTATTACTATTAGTATTACTGTTATAAAACCCGCTTTGTTGATGGGATTGTACCAAAGATGAAGACACAGATGAAGATGATGATTGCGACGACGGTGATGGGGGTGATGGTGGAAGTTGTCGTTTCTCAGGAATACCTCTCCCGTTCGCGAGCAAGTTCACTGTGCGTATCCCCAAGTCTGATTGAGATACGATTGATGCAATATTTGAAAAGCTTGCCCGCAGTGAACTATTCGATGCAGTCTTTCGTGGTGAGGAGGACGGATGGAATGAGGATGAAGTGATGAAAGATGGAGGACGGAGAAAAGAAGAGGCTGAAAATGAGGATGAGTGAGACTTTTTTCTTGATGACGAGTTGTCCCCACACGTTGAACTACGGGTGAATTTTGGAAGAGAATCTTGGACCATCAATTCGAAGCAATGCTGTTGTAGTTTGTCAAACAAATCTACCGTGTAGTTTCCTTCTTCGACATTTCTTCGACATTGATTACTCAACTCTCTGGGAACGTTTAACGGTTTGCTTGCTTTTTCATCATTCAAATATAGATTCCATATGCAGCTAGCCATGCTAATAGCTTCTCTCCTCATGTCTTTCTCCCTCCTTGCTCTTTCTTCTCCTTTTAGCATTGATCTTTCTACTTCTTCGAATATTTCTCTATATTCCATAACTTGGACATAAAAGTCTAAATTTTCTTCGCAGTACTGCGACACCAGATAAGCTCGAAATTTTGCTCGTGCTTCTTCATTGTGTATGATTTGTATCATGCGTAATCGAGAGGATTCGGGGGAAGCGACGGTATCTCTTTTAGATGATGAGCTGTAACGGACAGAGGAATGACGACGTTTTCCGGATGAACCAAGGATGGCATCATCAGGTAATTGAAGGTGTCCAGAGCCGGTGGTTTGAGGGGTTGCGACGAGTTGCCATTCAAAAGCTGGGAGAGTGGTATTTGTTCCAGCATTACCACTTTTGACCTGCAACTGAATAGCATGACAACGAAAGTACAATTCGGAGAGACGAGAATAAGATATTAGGTATGAGCGGGCGAAGCGAAGAGATAATGATAATTGATGTGATGATTTTATACAACGTATTTGGCAGTAGTATCTATTGTCAATGATCATTTTCGCTTACCTCTCTTGACTTTCTATCTTGTAGTAGTTTTATGCCAAACTTTAGCATGGTGAAAATGAGGGAATGTGTAAAGAAAAGCGGATATGTATATATCTGTATATGCACTGTATTGTGGCGCTGTCTCTAACAGGGGCGATTAGAAGTTCGGGTGTTGTGGGAATTTTGTTTAGTATTATTCTGCCTCGTCTGACGAATTCTATTTTTTTTAGCCCCAAACTCTTCGTAAAATGTAATGGGTGGGGGGAGGAGAGAATGGGGAATGCTGAGTATATAAATCGGTAAATTACATCGCATACACAGTTGAGCGCGTAGTGTTATTCTAGTCAGCGCCAATCAAATGCTTGGAAGAATAAATTATAGCGGGAAAGTTTAATATCAGTCGTTACCTCCTTGTAACGTTGCATATGCATAATATGAACATTAGATATTATTTTGATATAACAATATGATGAGTGGTGCTAACGGGGAATTTTGTTGCATTAAACTGGTAATTGGATGCAAGGGCCCACAAATGTACATTAATATAACATTAATATAGTTTGTAACTGAATTTATTATTAGGTGAAAGATAAGCACATGACATTTCTATTTCTATGGTTCCCATTTCTCCATCAACATCGAGACAATATTTCTGTCTCCAAAATGGGCAAGATTAGCTTACACATTGTTATCATATCAGCGTGCTCCCTATTTAGTGCAACAGAAGCAAACTTTAAGTGACCCAAACAGGATGTAAATAGAACAGATACAATTATTAATTTACATAGTGCGAGGTAAATAAACCATCCCACGCAACATGGGTGTTCAAAGAGCAAGGATAGTCGATGACACTAAGCACAGTACACCCAACATCCATGTTCCTCTTCCTCTTTTCTTCCTGCCGCTCAGTGATCGGTCAATAATATCGCATGCCCAGAATCAAGAAACGAACCACTAAATTTTGGTGTAATATTACAAATTTATAAATTTATCGTAAACAATCCTACCATTTGAGGAAAACCGGATTCATGCTATCCTATTGGAGCATAGTTTGGAAACAGGTCTATTTAGGTTGAAAAGTATTTCAAATATGGATGTGCACGAAAACTGCATCTCTTATAACGTCATAAGACATGCTCAACGTTTGTAGCCGCATTTAAACATATTGTTCGCTTAACTAAGTGGCTGATACACTACTTCTCGGATAGCGATGCACTCGTCAAGAATACGTAAAATGACTATGAAACACAAACTACCTCAAAATGGAAGAATTATACATAGCTCACAACGTTAGCTCTTTTAATCGTATATTAACCTAAATCATGACGAGAAGATCACAATTTCGCTGAAACGAATAGTTTCTTCTCAAACTTTCCTAAACAAAGTCGCCAGGTTTATAATTAGCATTGAAAAAAGAAACTAGCCCCAACGATCAAAGAGTATTTATGCATTTGTCTATCCATTTAGTTAATCATGAGATACCCATAATAGGACATCGTACTATAGAACCTGATATGAAAGCATAATTTTTGACAAATTAAGCCTTTACTGTTTGTGGATATATGCTAATACTAATAAAAGCTTTCCCGCAGATAGTCAAAATGTCTTGTCGAGTGGTTGATTCGTAATATGGTTTTGATTATCCAACATGTATGTTAAACCACATATTGGTAAACACTATCTCAGATCCTAATAGAAAATTGCTTTCAAAAACAATTAAACGTCTGACAAAATTTCAAGTGTTTGACCGTTATAGAATTGGTTGCAATCTCCGTAGAACAAAAGCACTGTGACTCTACATGGTTATCACTGATCACCATGAAGTTAAAGTATTGGTTTTTCACATGTGAAATTGTATAATTTAAAACAAACTCATTGTAGATTTACTAGTCTAACAAGCATGCGATAGTTCGATACAAAGGGATTATTCTAACTGCAAGAGCATATGATGGGTCCGTATCATAACATCGACAACCATTTCACTGTCAGGTTGTTTCATTTCGTTGACAATTATTTCACCAACAATCATCAACAGTTCACTACCACAAAAGGATAATTTCGAAATGATGTTGCTGAACGATTGACCTGTCAGCGAAATGACCTTGTCGGTGAAACATTACGTCTGCGAAATGATCGTCCATGTGATCGAAAAACAGAGAATTTCATGCTCTCAAAATCTAATTCAAAAAAAACTTAGATGGAAAAACTGCTGAATAAGAAAGGAATAAAAAAGTTTAAAATAAATAAATTTTTGGTTGACCCTTCAGAGTAAGAACTCTTAATCAAAAAGGAAGTGGGAGATGAGATCAGATTACTATCTGTTGTATATTATGTCATCTAACCCTTTTTTGATTTAGTATAAAATAAAAAATTACTAAATTACATTTTATATTGGCTTGGGACAATTGAATTCATTTTTGACAAATGGGTAAATATTACCATAAAAATATTCTTGTCTTTTGTAATCCAAAGGAGGAGTTAGTGCTAGGATAGAAAAGGATTTGATTTTTTTTGGTAATTTCAGAAACACTTGCTTTTTGTGTTTTTAACAAATTAAATTCGGTAAAAGACCATTATAATTAGTATTAGCAACCATTTGAGCTTCGACAACCGCAGGATTAGCTGCTTCAAACAAAAAACGTTGATATCACTTGTCGGAACGTTTAATAGTATTTTACTTAAACAGAATAACGCAAGAGTCGCTATTTTAAAGCAATAATTGCCAGGCGCGAAGTGAATGAATGCGTGTATATTATTACTGTATGCCAATGATAATTGATGCACAGAAATTCACACATGTTGATTACATTTAGTTCGAATATCGTGACTCAAAAAAGGTTGCTATAAGAACGGCCGAAATTGACTATTTTATGAAAAAGCTTCGCGAACTGCTTTTAAAAATCTATCTAATAGACTTTATCATTTTAAAATGTTTGTTCTCACAAGCGAATTTACTCTTAAATATTGATCGGAATTATCCTTGGATATTCCCTTTATTATAAATACACAAAGATTAGCTTCTTATTATGAATCAGAAAATTAATGAAATAATCAATCTAAACAAATTAGCCAACGTGATTATCCACCAGAAATCGAAAATTTGTGGAAGTACTTTAAAATCTTATTTGACTTGAATTTTTCATTTGACCAATTGGCTATTGAAGTCGTTGGATTACTCGGTAAAGGAAATAGTCCAACTACCGCTACGACCTACGGAGAAAGACCATTAAGGCTATCAAATGAAGAAATGAAGGAAGATGTAAACCACTCAGATGTAGACAAGAAATAGATGATAATGATAATTATAATGTTATTGGTAATAGCAATAATAATAAATTTATTTACATTTCTTGCTTTCGCTTCATCACATTCTGGTATAATAAGGTGAACATTAAAATAACAGGTCCATAAGTTATCATTATTACTTTTCCAGTCAGTCAGCCTCTCATTTATGTCACATAATAAAATGTTCACTTTGTCTAATTGTACATTGTTGATGTAATGTACTGTATTCAGCACGCACGAACATTGTAGCATATTATCGGAAATATTCTCGAATTGATAGATTGTAGTTTGACGGACTTGTGGTTTGATAATGCAATGGTGAACCATGAACCGTGTATGCGTACACTCCAGTATCGACATTAAAATGATTTGCACAAGGTGTCTTCAGTCGAGAACCTATCAACATTCTTGCAACATAATTAAGTGGCAGTCATCTGCCTGAGACTTGCAAAATATTAGTTCGATTTCCCCTCATGTATCAAATGACTTGATATTGACGGTCGAAAACCCATAAAAAAATACACAAATTCCAAAACAACGAAAAGATGATATTGTTTATTATTATGGTGCAAACCTATCCGCTAAATTAGAATTCGAGTATTGGGTGTTATTTCACTTCCAATCGCATCGTTTCCGTACTAAAGCTTTTACACGTAGATGTAAATTCCTTAGAAGATGAAAATTTCCATCGATACACGTAACTTACATTAAGATTTACAGAGAAGCATCACAACCATTAATGACATCAGTTTGCCGTAAATGCAGTAATGAAATAATATATACAGTCCTTTATTAATTCATAACAAATTAACTCCATACATATCGCAGTTCGCTATTTATTCTCAGCTAAAGTTGCAATTGCAATAAATAAGAGTAACCAATACGATCTCATGTTGGACAGTTATCCGCGATAAACTCGTCGCAGACTTCCAACAACTTTGTTGCCTCAAACCGCTCAGCTGCAAATTTGATATCATCAACATTAACACGCGTCAAATGGCATGACAACCTACTCTCCATTATCGCCTGCAGATTATCTAGTTTATAATAATCTGAAGCCCATAGAATATCCAAATACAACTGCACCAAATCACTCTCATCCTCCGTAGGAGTTTCCATATTCTTCATCGCGTCATCGATATTCATTCCATATAAAAATCTCAAAAACACCTCAAACGATCGTGGCTGCATCTCTGTAATATTGTGAATGGACGGTTCTAAGGGAGTATGCTGTTTAAAATTCGGATTACTTATAAACCGTTCAAACACTCCTCCGTTAGCTGCTAGTACGTATCTATTGGCATAAAACTCTTGTCCTTGTACTTTAAAGACAGTATCATGTATTGTTGGTCCTTTAAGTAGAAGCTCAGATATGCCCTTGAGGAATGCTTTAGATTGATTATATTCGGGTTCTTCTAAGCGTTTACTGATTACTGTCCCAACTCCTGCAGACTGGAGCAATTTCGTAAATGGCTGGAGACTATTTTTAATATAATCAGGCTCCTGTTTCGTGGATCCAAATTTTAGCTCCGCTGCCTCTTTCCAGTTCTTAGGGTCGTATGGATCATCATCCTTCTCATCACAATTTATGTTTAAGAAAACAGGCCCAGTGTCTTCCAGATATTCTCCAAAATCAAACTCTTCAATTTCTGAATTATGCTCTGTGAGCATGTCAGTCAAAGTTTGGTAGATAGATTTAGTAAGATCGATTATTGCATACCTTCCTTCCTCCTTCCATTTAGGATTTTTGATTAACGTGGTAGAAACATATACCAAGTGTTCAATAACTCTTTCGGGCCTCGGCTTCCCGCAATCCGGATATTTCTCTGTCATGGCTCCTTTTGGAATTGCATTCTCGTCCATTACTGGCAGTTGCGTCCAGGCAACGTCAACATATTTTGGTAGGCAGAGTTCCCTGAACGATCCGAATCCACCCTGGGCAATAGCAAAATCACGTCTGAGAGGTGTTTCACGAACTGGTGCAGCAGGGACAAATTTGACGGTCGTGATATAACGCCACTGCTCGGGAGAGAAAGTCAAACTGGAGAAATTATTGTACAGATAATTCAAAGCGGCAAAGGCCTTATTACGAAAGCCAACAGTATCGTTCCGTCTAATCACTGCCCTCTCCACTTGACCTGCAATGTATTCGATACAATCTATGAAACTGTTTGTAGTTACTGCGACGTTTACACCAATCTCACGTAGTTTCCGCATCGAATCTCTGGTCACATCAAAGCTAGTGCTCAAAAGCCTTTCCGGAACTCCGTTAAAGATTTCACGAAACAATTCTACCCTGTCATCAAAAAGATCTTTGGGCTTGACTAACTTGCCTTTTCGATTCGGGATACTCTTGTGTCCTTTGAGATACGTCGAGACTTGATCCTGGTTGACTTGATCCTGGTTCAATTCCAAAATTGATTCTAGAAATCGCACGTACACTTCCGGTTTTTCAACATCTGAACGTATTATGTTACCAGCTGTCAAATACTCATAAGCGGTAACCTTCTTGGCACCAAGAGCGCACAAAATATCAAAGCCTTCATGATCGTCACGTGCAATCTTGAATATGTTAGGAAATTGGCGAGAGGGATAATATTCCACTTCTTTTTGGAGAATTTTGCCTTCGCATGGTGCTACAAGCTGCTCTCCGTTATCATGCAAAGGATTAATTGGCCATATGCGAAGATTTTTGAGCACGTCTTCATAGCCGCGCCGATCTTCTGTTGATGCATTTGTCCAGATTGCAGACCAGTTTCTTCGTACAAGTTTTCTCAAAACATTAACTGCCTCAGAACTCCAATCTTTTAATAAGTCTTTTGGTTTGCCCTCATTCTCCCAAACCATTTGTAAAACTATGAGCACGTTAACATCTGACCATTCAAGTATATACCTCCGAATATCATCATTTGGCTTGTCAATAGATCTGCCGGTGAATAAAATTCCGAGCTTGATCAAGCCACTGCAAAGTTCTTTATCAACCATGGCATGCTTAGAACTTAAAACAGGAATGTTTCTCTCGATTGGAACCAGGTATGTATCAAGCGGATTATCGACATTGACAATATCGAGAATCGGATACCTTTTGAACAGATTTATTTTTGTATCAGATTTAATTAACAAGTCCCATATTTTATTAAGACATTCACCGGTTAACCAGTCCTTATTCGGAGCTCCCGCATGATAATCCCAAGGTTTGATTTCAAAGCCAGGATTCAAGTGCCTCTCGAGCTGTAAAAGTGCTGCATGCCCGTCAAAATTCTTCACATTTGTCAAGGAAAAGGCATCACCCTCAGCTTCTTTAACGAGTTTATACAGCTGGTTGGATGTGTTGACTAGTCGAGATTTATCATAATTTTTAAACAGTTCTAGATCCTCTTTTGTTGCGATGTAATAACACGACGAATCGTCTGTAGCACCAAATCTTTTCATAGTGCCGTCCTCCAATGGTAGCAGCCGAATGCCTTTCAGGTCATCATATTGCTTATCCTCCAGCAGGAACTTCAGGACATTCTCGCATTCTTCTTGATCCAAAATGGTAGCTAGTTCTTTATCCCGTAATTGTTGTCTCGCTTCTTTAGGAGAAATCTCCTGAGCTTTATCTATTTTCTCTAAATGTATCAAATCTTTGATCCTCTGAGAACGTAAATACACTACACGACAGCCATAATGCGCGAGGGCTTTCGCAACGCTTTCTTGAGAGCAAAAAAATCCTTTTTTTAGACAAACCCTTTGATTAGGTGAACCGTAAAGTCTAAAAAAAGGATAGTCATTTGGAAGTATTGATAAGACTGTCGCTCCATACATGCGGAAGTGATCTGGTTGTGTGTTCTTGTTCAATGGCCAAAACAGCTCGATCGGACGGCACGAGTTAGTTTTTGGTAGTTCGAAATCTTCGCGCTGGTCAAGCGCTATTAAAAGATCCACGTATAGTCTCGGTAATACTCGCGTCAGTATATACTCGTTCCATTTCAGTTTTAAGTGGTCTTGATCCATGTCCTTTTGTCTAGATTTAGTAGGAAATCGTATGCTTTGTCGGTCTGATGATAACGCCCACGAAGCATTGATATGAGCACAAATTCCAGTACTCTCCTGCAACGGGAAGTAACAGAACAACTGTCCATCCTCTCCAATCCTCTTGTTGTTCTTTTTTTTTTGCTTTTTTTGGTTCTTTTTTGCAGATTTCTTTTCAGACTTCTCGGTCTCGTCTACAGGTTTGTCTGTTTCCTTTAAGAGGAAAGCAATACCTCCGCCAACTATTTGAGTTTTATTTTTCGTTGCTTTGCCCAATTCGGTTGACTCATCCAGTAGTTGGCGTCCAACAGCGCAAACATATTTGAACTTCTCTTCTTTTTCGTCATCGCCGATCACTTTAATCGACAGCGGATACTGACGGCTACAATCGTCCAAGAGTTTTCGTTGCTCACGAATAGATTCGTCTATATTTTCTATTTTCGCTTTCCATACTAATTTTGGCGATGAGGGTGCACCATTTGCACTAATTGAAAAAACTTCAAATTCCTCGATATTTTTCAAAAACAAGAAATACTTTTGGATATGATTTCTCAGATCTTTCAAATATTCGCGGATTTGATCAGGGGTTATCGCATAATCTCGAATCTTGCTGGCTTCGGCAAGTTCTTCTGAACGTAAGGGCATCCGGAAAATCGTGCCCTCAGAACAGCCTTTGATGTCTAGATACGGTCTAGCCTGATGTGGGTATTTTTCAATAAAGTTAGAATTGAATGTATATCTCAAGCCATCCAATTGCCGCCCGTCCTTTGGTGGGAGAAACGTTCGGTGTGGGTCAAAAAACCCAAGGAAGCCATCGCTCATAACGGAAGGAACGTCGGTGATATTATAACACGAATTGAATCCTATCGCAAATTGTTAACGCGTTAACCAACTCACTAATGTAGAAGACAGAATCTGCGAAGCTCATTAAATAAAATGTCACCAACCTAGACCGAATCTCCCAATCGTATTTACATCATTTTGTTTTCCTCCTTCACCGAAATTCTGTATACCTCGGAAATCTTCATCTTTAAACTTGGCGTCATTATATATTAATAAAGCTGGTCCCTGCCAAACCGCCATATTTTTAAAATCACCGGTTTCAGACGGATGTTTGCGTTCGTCGATAATGACACGATATGTCCGTGCGCCTGCATCATCTGCGTTTTGAAGAAATTCGCGAATAATGTGTTCCCATGCATAATCCTACAAATTTATCAGATTGAATGAATGGGATCTATGAAAAATAGCTTGTCGTTTAGAAATTTTGAATAAAACATACGCGGATAACATTCCTTATGGCATTAACCAAAGTTTGTCTTGGTTCAAATGCTTCGGACTCGATAGAAGCCATCTTTGGGTGTTGTTTATATCTTAGCTGTATGTTGTGATCCGTTAGAATTGGAAAGGTAGATATTATTTCAACAATGTTGGTTGCCTTTATACAAGAACACTGGCGCAGATATCATGGAGTACAAACCCTTAAATGAATGCGATAGTGACTAAATGAATGCGGTATTGTCTAAATAAATATGGTAAGTATTATTTGACAAACAAACCCATGCACTGGTTTCAAAAAAGTGTTTAAAAACGCCGTATTAATAATGACCAAGGATGGTGCAATCCAATCTCTTGATTTTCGGATCACAGTTTACCAGAATTAGTTGCTCGTTTAACCAGCGTTTGTCCGATAGTGTTCAACAAATGCCCATCTCTAAATTGCTAATGTTTGACTTTCAAACGGCAAATAGTTTGCTCGGGGCACAATCGCGCCAAAGCGTATTTTCATAGGTTAGTCTGAATCAGCAAATCCCATCATAGGCATTGGAACACTTCTGTTTTCGGGGCAAGCCAATAGAATTGTTCTTTTTTGCATCGGTATTCTTTTTTGTCATTCACTTTGTGCCTTTGAGCGTGCGAAAAAACAACCTTAATGTTAAAGTTAAGACAAGTGAAGTTGCAAAACATAGCCTCCAGATGCAGGTGTAACCACCCGATATGTACCACGTACTCTTCAACGCATCAACACAACAGTTATCTTTATTTAAACAAATTCGGTAAATGACTTAAAAAGGTATGAGCAACTGCTGCGTCTTATCATGGAAATCGATGAGAGAACAACAAACGACATCATCAATTGAATTGGTGTTATACATTAAATTATGAATAGCAATGTTTTGTTTATACGTTCTTTACCAATGAATCCGGCACTGTCAAGAATTATTGCACCGGTTTGATCCAGTATAAGAGTTTGTATTTGGATATGAAGTCAATCAGTCTTTAACGAAGTAATCAAATATAAATTTCTTAAATGGCTCCCTATTGTGGCAACTTCAATTATTTCAAGTCCAATGATAACTTAAAAGCACTGGATGACCATGATCCAGAGCCATCCATATGAGCTCACGGTTTGTCATCTAGATAATTATAAGTATGAATGTTATAGTGAATGCTCCGCTATCGACGGGAAATAACCAGCTTATGTGATTAAGCCTGTGCTTGTTGTAAGAATACTCAGGATTGTAAACACATCCCAAGTTAGTAATTGTTAAAATCATTCCGCAACCTCTGGCACTTCAAGACAGAACAACGATGAATATATCTAATTAATCGATAGCATTTGACGGACTAAAATTTGTTCATTCCAAGATTCGAGATGATGCAAGCTGCCGCGATTCAAAGAATTCTCGCTAGTCATAGAATTGTCCGGATCGTTTTTGTTATGACACGATCATATTGCACTGGACTACTTGAGATACTATCCAAAGAATTACTGTGGCAATAGATACTGACAAATGAAACTATTATAAACACTTTAATATTAAACGTTGCATTAGTACACTTTATAAACATAATGTGCATGTCTATTAACTGAACATAATTCATCCCGTAATAGTCGTCTATAAACATAATTAAATAGACTAGAAGACATCTCCTTTCAATATTTTCTCTGCAAGCCTTTCCTTTGCATTCTGATATGCCTGAATAAACGTCTGTTCGGTTATTGGAATGTCGGTGCTTTCTGTTCGAGGTCGAGATACACGAGAGACGATAACATTGGAATCCGTTTCCAATGCAATACTGAGACGGAAGTTAATATAAAAAAACGTTAGAACGAATGACATCAGAATGATATATTAATAAGCACGTATGTTCAATCATCATGTCTTACCCATCGTCTATTGTCTCATCAAGAGCGAGAATTACAAGATCGAGATTGTCAACAATTGATCTCTTCTCAACCTGTTGTCTATTAAGAATACAATTATTAGAGGTCACGATTAGCATACCAGAGACGTCTTACAATACATTTAGAATACCCTACCTTAGCAAAGTAGACACAGCATCGTAGAACGCATTCAATATGCTACTCAAAAGTAACTCATTTTCATCTGCTGATCCAACCACATAGAAAAACACATCGACATTATTACGATATAGGACAACGTGATTGTCATATAGAATTATCTCTCCTAATTATAAGCAGATGTGTTTAGTAAGTCGGGTGGGTAATCCTTAAGCATATCCACCGTTCAGCTGTTGCTATCCTACTAACTTACCACTCGCTCTCCTAGTCTTTTCGAATAATCCCTTCTCAAAAGCTTTTTGTTCTTTTACCGTCGGGTAAGCATTCTTTCCATAGTACTTGGCCAATATTCTATTACCCTCACCGTCGAGAAGTATCACGCCAGTTGTCGTGTAGAGTGACAAATTAACCTTGCAATTAAAGAGAATAGCTTAACATCGATAAAGAAATATTAAGCTTATAGTATCAAATACCAACCATGCTATCAACTCTCAGTCAACAAAGCGGGTGAAAATGTTTGCTTAACGCCACACAATATTAGATATTTTAGGGGCTGAGACATCAAATTATTCGCCACCGAATTGTGGCGTCAAGTTAATTAATAGTGATATGGTAGAATTATTATTATTAACTCCATATCAATATGAAACAAAATAACAATTTTAACCAGGATAACGTTCCGTGTGTACTAAAGTCGAGTAATATTCCGAATCATAAAATCAATAAACCATGCACAAATAGAACACACAGATAATGAAAGAGGCAGCTACAACATTTTAGTCGAATTAATTATAACACTGTATGTTAATATGTAATAACTGAACGATATTTCCTGAATCAATAAACCTAACCTCTTTGCAGAAATTTTAATGTTAAAGTATATGATAATTTACAATTAGAATTTTCCACAACATAGTTGATAAACATGGTTGTTGAAAGTGATGTTAATGCCTCGGAGCAGGACGCGCTAGCAATCCGTACGAGGAAACGGTCTACAAGATTCCCGAAACTGTGAATCTCATAACAGTATCCAATTGGACTAAGTTCTCTTTTTATTTATTTTTTTAAATCTTATTATGTTTTTGATTTTCTGTTTGTAAGCTACGATGAAACTGTTCAGGTTCCATCAACGCGAATGGGCTATGTATTGCACTCGCAGTCGCTTTTACCTATGCTATGTTGAGCGAGATAAAAGTTATTTTTAAGTTTTGTGCCTAGTATGATAAATGAAGGAACGACTGCCAAATTTGATTGACAAGAAGACTAAATAGAATACTTTCTGGCCAATGAGAATCGTGATGTGCACAATCATTCTTATTCACACACTCTCACTGTGTGTGCTAAGGAGTAGTCATATCTGGCCATGAAATTTTTCTTGACTGGAGGTTCGGGATTTCTTGGGCGCAACCTGATCCGTTACGCTCTTGATAAAGATGACGATTTGAGCATTATCGTGTTATCACGGTCAGAGGAGTCCGATGAGATTATGCTAAAGGCAGCTGGAAATGAGAAACACAGAGTTCAGATATTGAGAGGAAATATTGAGGATGAACAAGTGTTGATAAAGGGTGTTTCGGAAGTACAAGTAGTTATACACATGGCCGCTAAGGTAATTTATGATGGAAAATGTCACCTATATACAGGAGATGCATTGACGATGAAAATACGGTCTTGTATAACTGCATCTATTTATTTTCAAAATAAAGGTACGGCCTTGGGGTGTATTTTCCGAATTTGAGGTCATAAATATTGGTGGGACTCGAAAGCTAGTAACCGTGATTGAACAATCGGCAAACAAACCACGTCTGGTCTATATATCCTCCTTTACCGCTTTGGTATCCAACCACCACGACAAAGATAATATCCCTAATTGGGCCCCTTACAGCAAATCAAAAGCTCTGTCGGAAGACATAGTGCTCAATAGTTCTATAAGCGATAAAGTACTATTGCGTCTTGGTTGGTTATGGGGTAAAGACGATAATGTATTGTTACCGAAGTTGGTCTCTCTGAGTAAGAATCCATTATGGAAGATATGTCCACGTTCTTATCCAGTATCTATTCAACATGTTACTAACGCGTGCGAAGCAGTGTATCTTGTGGCAAAAAATCCGTCGCTGCCATCGCAGTTATATGAGTTTAAAGACCCTGATGGAGATATTGATGTCGAAGACTTTCTAGAATCATATGTAAAAGCAGCGTCCCAGCGCTCCGACAATGTGCCTCGACCGTTTGAGAATTTCAGAGCGCCAAAGTGGTTGGTATGGGGATTCATCACGTTTGTAGAATGTATTCCATTCTTAAATTATGGGAAGAAGTGGGCATTGGAAGGAATGACGAGAGAGCCTTTGATGCTGTTGTTTAATGATTACAGATTGAATGATGCAAAAGCAAGAAAAGAGATTGGGTATGTTGGACACGTTCGAAGAGCTGAAGGACTCGATGAAGTTGCAGAGATGCGCGGGTGAAGATTTTTAGACGCCGTGAGAAGTGTGTCATATAGACAAATAAACACACCCTTTTGTTTACTTGTTACACGACATCTAAAGAGAACATTCGTTCCAACTTAGCATTCCTATAGTTCTCAATCGTAGTCAGCAGGATAAAGTCCGATCATCCGTAATCATAATTTAATGGAAAAAATATTTGCTTTTCCTCACACATTCTATATCAAAACTACCTTTCGGAGGTAACGGAGGAAATGAGATCTCCTCCCACATATGTACATATTTCTTGACGTTCGTTTTTCTTGGACCCCCTACCTTTGTTGTCTTTGCGTCTTCATATTCATCGTCCATAATTAAATTAATGTCTGTCTCATCATCTACAGCCAATGCTTCAACATCCAAGTCCGATTCAATCGGATCGGCTGCTAGCATTAAATCGAGCCCTTCTATGTCCTCAATTGCATCTAGTGTGGGTGTCTCTTCCATCTCTTCTATTATTTCTTTTTCAATAATTTCTATTGCTTTTATGTTGTTTCGGATTGCTGCTTCTTTGTTGCGCTTTTCGAATTCTTCTAGCGTCATAGATACCGGTACTATATATCCCTTATAACGTTCGACGAATTCATTTCGCACATTTTCCATTATGGGTTCACGGTGAAGGGCTATGAACTGTTCGCGTAAAATCTTATTCATTTTGGATACATCACATGCATGTGTCCAGTAACTGTCATGTACGGCAGCAAATGTCAAATTGTTCACTTTACACTCTAAAGCAGACATAAGCATATGAGTAGCATCAAGAGAATGAATGAAGTTGGGCGGAAAAGCTGAACGTTGCCTAGCACTATCAACGGGACTAGGATTAGTCGGATCCTGAACCATTATAGTTTGAAGGTTAGTTTTTATCGACTTCCTGCCTAACTTGCGATATGGTTGGACTATGGGCAGTCCTAGGGGCGTTGTCCACACCACGGCTGTCATTTGGTTAGATTTGGCTTGCGTAGGAGAAATTTTAATTACTGATCGTTTCTTGGGCCCAGCCAATACTGGATCGTCCTCATTATCAAAATCTATTTCTTCATTTTCTTCTTCAGCCCGCATTTCGTGTTCAGACTTCATAACAACGTCAGGAGGAACGCTTTTTGATATTAACTCCGCAGACTCATTCAGCCAATCCTGTATAGCTCGAGCTCCGGAAAACATTTCGCCCAAACATAGAAAGACCTTCTTGGCGATATATCCAGCAAGAACATCAATTTTATCTTCGGGTAAGCCTTTTATTTCTCGCAGACGGTTTGAGATTTGTGTGCGAGCACCTACGAACGTCACTCCATATACATTGGTCATCACAGTCTGCTTGACAATTTTACGGTTTATTATACCACTTAGGATATTAGCATTCTCATCACCTTTCTCAGCATCTTCTTTAATCATTTGGCCCACTCTCGTAGCTACACCAGTGTAGATATCAGCAGGTGTTTCTGAGGGAAATAAATTGACCTGCATGGCGCCCTCTAGATCACCGCCCAATGCTGCATAGTGTTGAAGTCCGTTGCATGTACCGTCCTGATGTACGGGAATACGAGATAAATATTCGTGCGGTTTGCCAGACTTCACTGCTTTTGCTATTTCGAAGCATGTAGCTAGACATTGCCAGGGATCTTCTGCCTTTAACCACCATTTATTGCCTGTTAATGGTCGCTCGGCTGAATCTATAATGTCATCCATGTGATCATCAGTGAACCTTATTCTTTCTTCGAACGGTTGTTTATCATATCCAGCCAGATTAGCCAAGTGAATCTTTAACCAGTTGAAGCCCTCTTCGCCTAGACGTTTAGCTTCGTCGAACATTAAAAGACCACGGCACAAGTCGTTTCCAAGGTGATTAAAGTGAGGAGGGATTGTATATGCTCGACCGCGGAAGTCGAGACTGTGAGGGAAATACATCGGATCATTAAGGAACTACGCGCGGCATAAATAAAAAGTGCTTAGCAATTGAATAAAAAAAAATACGCTATAACACCCAAGAATACTTACAGCCCTAGCAATTTCAACTTTGTAATTGGCAGAGCACCTTTCAGAGTGATCACCCTGAATTCTGCTACGTATTTTCCTCATCTGTTTCATCCATTCGCTTCTAGCCTTAGCGTTAACATCATAATCATCAGGCTTCGGAGGCAATTCTAAATCTTGCTCGGCAGATGGTATACCGCCAATGCTTTGTTTACTATTCCATACTTCCAATACCACATTATATACGTTTTTGTTTATTGCCCATCGAGTGGACCCTAGTACATCTAGTCCAGCAAAGACTTTTGTCAAGTGTCCCGCTTTTGAAGCCTCTCTGAGATATTGACGTTGTTCAGGGCTATCGCGAATTCTCATTGCAAGGTCTAGAAATGAAAGGCGTGCATCCTACGTCAATATAAAAGAACATGCGTAAAAGAACTGAGCAATTTAATATATACTTTTAGTTTTGTAGTAGCCACCAGACTTGTGTGATAGCCATGGACGGGGCGGTACGAGCATCGGAAGCATACGTGGATGTATGGCATCGCGGACACGATCTTTGGTGAGCAGTTCAATTAAGCTATCGGCAAATTTTATGATACCAATTCTTTTGCCTTTGATACATTCGTAGGTATGGTAAAATGCGGGTAGTTCGTCCTGTCTGATATCGAGAAGAGGAAAAGAGTCATGGCGGAAAGGTAGTTGATAATTTGTAACAAAGATGATCGCAGATGCCGATATTAACTGGTCTAAGAGGTGATAGATTCAACAACAATGCTTTAAAGAATACTATTACACTCGCTAGCGTCATGCAACAGATGGTACTTACATGGTCTCTTTGGCTGCCCTGTTTGTGATTTTAGCTGGGACTTTTGCGCAGCTTATTAGAAGTGAAACTAAGATGGAGCCAACCTAAACGAAACAAAAACGTTTAGATTACGGCAAGGACACGCAAAACTAACGACATGACGTTTAAGACTATATAAAAGTCCTACCTTTGCTTTAACAGCTACTGGCCAAGAGGGTTTCCAGTCTGTGGGGAGCTGTTCGTTCTGATACTTTTCGATTGCTCGACGGACGGCCATGTGAAATAACTTCCCAGACGAATATAATGCCTGTATCGTCAAATCACGCTCTATCTGCTCATAATAATTCAATACGTTTTATTTACCAAACTTCACATTCAACTGCAATATATCCCATCAATTTAATTATAATTAGCCTACCATCTTCCTATTATTCTTCTTCTTGATCTGTTCTGCATTGTACTCGTTCTCAACTGCCTTGCCTACGGAAATGACCGTGGCTGCCGTCTTCATTCCATTAGTATATCCGCTGATTGTTTGTAATCTCATCAATTCAAGAATAGTGACAGACGACAATTTCTCTGCCTTGAGTAAACGAAGAAATGGACCGTATTGTTTGCGTTCAGGGTCTAGTCATACAAATTCCATTAAGACAGCCAGATTATATACTTTCAATATGTGTTACCAATGCTTTCTATCATTTACTGCTTACTTACCATCTTTCATGATTTCGACTCGTTCGAGCTCTTCTGCGATAAGAGGAACGAGTTTGGTGTGCCAATCCCAGAGAATTTCCTTGAGTTCGGTCAATTTCTTGATTTTAAACCCTATACCGCGTTTGAGCATTTCATCCGTTTTGACCTGCCACCGCTCTATGGCTGCTTGATATGCATTCTCTTCCAACTTCATTTGTCGTTCGAAATCGGTTAAATCCCTCTCGCTCACGGCTACGAGTTGCTCCTTCATTAATCTCACACCAATGGCCTATTTTCATAAATTATTACAGCAGATTGAGCAGTATCAATGTATTTGCCAACATTTGGTATAATTAGATGTCGTTTCACAGATATATCAGACATCGCCAACAAAAGTCACGTATGAAGCATACATCAATAGCGATGGGGGCTGAGCCTGCTTCCATTGGTTGCTCGACATCTTCTTCTTCATCAACTGAGATATTTCTAATTGATTCCAATAATTCTTCTTGCTGTGCGGCTGAGAGGATATTGCCTTCCCCTTTTAGCATCTACGATGGAGTGTCTACAATCAGTTTGAATTCAATTGCAAGTGAATCGAATACCACAAATTACCTGGATTAGATTTTGTCGCTCTTTCTGTGTAAAGTTTAAGTGTTCCACCATCAGCGTAATAGGTATACCACTCATTTGCATTTGCTCAAGTACACCAGTCAACACGGCAACAAATTTACGGCCCTCTTCTTCTCTTTTCAATGTAAGGTTCGATTATGATTAACATTGTTGATGTACGTACATGTTAATCAGCAATTGCATATCATACACTTACCTTAGAAATATTTTTGTGATCAACCCATAAGTGGACAAATCAGGCTTTATGTTCGCGTCATTCAAATATTGGAAGAAATTCATCACCTTTCTGTAATTAGGGGTTCCTGGTTCTTCCAAGAACGCTTCAAGGAAGGCATTATACACTCTTATATCTAAAGCCTTACGCATTTCTGGTGTACTATTCTTCTCCAATCGCTCCAATATTTTTTCAGCACGGCCTATATGTCGTGTCTTCAAACAGGCGTACATTATTGCCAATTGTTCCGAAAAGACTGATTGTTGCATGGTGCCTGGTCCTTTCATGCCAAGTCGAGTCTGGGGAAGAATTAACGGCTTAAATTCATTGGAAGAGGGAAATGAAGGCAGATCAGGAGGATTATCAAGAAGATTAGAATGTGTTGCTGTTGACTGGTGTCTGAGTGGAACATGGAAGAAGCATAGGGATCGGTAAGGAAGATGGAAAGGGATGTGGAAATGATAAGGGTTGCGGTGAGAGGAAAGCGGATATGGAGATTTTCGGGTAAAGATCAGATATAAACGGAGATTATTGTTAGTCGTACGATGTATAGAATGGGAAGGACATCTGGATTTTGTAGTTCGTGGCAATGGGAAAGTGAACATTGTTTTTGATCGTTTTATATAGCAATGTGATAATAAATGCGATTTGGGATCGTCTGGGGTTTAAAAAAAATTTTTTTTGAAATGTTCATCAAATCAAGATCTCGGGTAGGTCACCTGTTTCAAGCTTTCCAATCGGAGAAGCTAACCACGATTTGGGCGATCAATGTTCAAACTTTAACTCGAGATTAAAGAATGCTGGGAAGTCAAATTATCCGAAAACAGCAAGTATCATTTCATGACCAAAACGTGTAATGATCGTTATGACGGCTTTAATCGTTGAAATAACTTGGGAAATGTAATTTTTGACATTTAGGGTTAGACCCCGTTAAATTGTCGCGTCACATGGAATTTTTATCCTTTATGGGTTAATTATTATAATTATGACAGATCAATATTCCGTGAGCCTTCAGAATGGAATATTGAGCTTATAAACGCATGTAATCGGAAAACAAAAAGAATCAGAATAGGCTTTCCATTACGTGTCTCACTTAATTGCCAAGTCTAAGGAAGAAGCGAAGCCCAAAAATCGCTGATAAGTAAACGTATTTAACTCTTTAATAATAAATCAGAAGATTTTTATGCCCAAGCCAAGTGGTTTCGGAGCGCATATTTGTCTACTTAGTTGTTGCCTTTAACTGGTGGAATAATCTCTAAATTTTTGGAATTTAGAGCCGAATTTCGTGTGCTAGCGATTTCTTCGCTGTCCATGATCGTAGATAAACAAGAATCTTTTCTTGATTACCACAATCGAAGGAGCGTGATAGTTTGCTTGACGTCACAACTATTCATACTTTTTCTTTTCAGCGATTAAAATATTAAATCTCGCTAGACGCCGAGCGTAACCTAGTTGCAACAGAATGCGGGTAACTCATAAATTATAACATTGTCATAGGTTAACGATATCCCGAAATGATATGGAATTAGCTTCCAGTTTATTAAATTACATATCTGGTAGTTAATGAGGATTAATTGTTCTATATTGAGCAAGTTTTTGCGCGTATTATAATAAGTTTTCTGTTGTGGATGACCAATTTCCGCTTGTAAGTACAAAAATGCTACCTAAGCGGAGGTATCAAAAATAGACAGCATTGGATGGAATCGATATGGTCCTCGTACAATTTATCGATGACGAAATTTTAGTATCTACTTAATGCAAGAATTCAAGTAAGCGAGTTTCCTTCCAAACGAATTTAATGTAATAATTGTCCTTTTAAAATAGTTCTCTATATTTTAATAAACAGGTTATTCATTTATTTATTCGTTCCAGAAATGATATTACTTTTTCTGGACTAACGAAGCTAACATGACATTATACGGTAAGCGACAGGTTGGTGATTCAAGGAAGCCGACTTTGCGTCCCAGTTTTTCCTTTTTAATGTTTTGACTTCGGGGTACGCCGTAGGCATTAAAAGTGGGAGTGGCTTTACAATTAATTGGCCTGAGTTTTGTTTTAGTTCATTATCAACTTGGTTAATATGAAAGCATAAAACGCTTAGGTGATTCTTGCTAGTCGAATTTATTTAATCCGACCGACTTTAGTAATTAATCCCGGTCTTAAATTCCATAGAAAATTTATGACATTTGACCGAAATTCCACTCCTGATAAAATATCAACTGCTTTACCGAAGTGGATAAATTAAAAACACGAGCTAGTTATAAGAAGTATTTGTGAAGAAATACTATAACAAAATTATGCAATAAAGAACTTCAAAACTCGAAAAACCGATAATTTGCAAAATTTATGACTTCTTTCAATTCCAACACATATGAGATATAAAGAAATTGTAAATTATGATGAAAATGAAAAATTGGTAATAATTATGGTAATAATACTGTAATACTAATAGCAAGAGTAAGAAAATGGTTACTGTATATCATTCACAGTGTAAATCTTTTTGTTGGGAATTAAACGTGCACAATTTAACAAACAATTCTGTCTTGTAAATTCTTTATTCAACATGCTATAAGTTCGAAGCATACAAGTTACCCCTGGTCGGTTTATTTTTCTGAACGTCAAACGCGAAAAATGATTGAGAATGTAAGCTGTTCAAAATTAACAATAGAATTTACAACTCTTAATTTTTAAACGAGCTACTTATTATTTGTGCTATTTGTTATAGATTAATAGATAACGAGCATTTTGTATTACAGTAGTATTATTACTAGTGTTTCGAGAGTCATCGCATTGTATAATATCAAAGCCTATGTTATATTTATAACTATTACTTTATTTGACAATTGTATAAAAGTAGCAAACGCGTCGCTTGTCACGTAATCGAATTTTAACTTTCAGTGTGTATTGTGGTTGAGTTTAGGCGAAAGGCACGTTCCGTAAAACTTCATTGCCTGATAAACTTGAACCGTCATGTAAAAAATTATTGGGTTATGACTAACATCCCAATCCCGCATACAGATAAACGACTTTGTCGACAGGACAAATATATGTGACCGAATTTTGTCTTTTGTAGAGCTTAATAATATTGTTAAATCTAAATTTGAACTCGGCAAACTTTTTTGCTAATACTAAAGTGAATTGGCGGTTTCAACAAAGTAGTAAACCCAAAACATACAAACCAACTCGCCAAGAACGTCCAAAGAGGGTTTCCCCTAATGTTCACCATCATATGCTTAAAGCTAGAGATGGGCATCTTATATTTCGACCTGATATAAATCCAACAGTCTTGTTTAAAAAAATTATATGAGAAAAAGTCAAAACGCTGAGCGAAATGTTAAGGCACTCGCTAACAATGAGCTTTCAAATATGAAATCATAGTGGTACTTTGCACTTGAAAAAAGATGCATGATTTGGCTGTGGTCGGTGAATGCTTTTCACAATAAGTTTGATAATTCATGTTATTACACCATTGATTCTTGCGTATTGTGATATTTTGTAATCCTTCTTTTATTGTTCCCATACTATAATAATTCTTCATGTATTGCACAAAGATAATGGTTCATGTTTATTTTAGCATTTAACACAGTCACTCAATATGTATAATAATATCCTAGGACGTGTATACAGCTCATCATTTCTACCCAAAAGTAACCGAAGATCCACCACCCGGGGGTCTTAAGACACTATAGAAGAAGGAATTATTTAGTCTCCGTAACATAATCTGTATCAATGACAACATGGAATTACCGTTCTCCCCACACCGTATATCGAATCATTAATTGAATACGTACCGACTGGAAGGTTTCACGTTATTCCTGCTTCTTCCCACAGGATCATTGTCACCCAATCTCCCACCAGTATCATCTCCTATTACGACGCTGGACTCGAATTGAGACTTGCCACGTCGTTTAGTCGAACCAGAAATTCCAGAGGAAACAGAGGCATTGTCATCATGATCGTCGGCAATCGTGAATTGGGATGCATTCTTATTGGCATTGTATTTCGTATTTGTGACTGAACATGCAGTGCCCAGAAAACAAAAGAATTGAATAAAGCAATGCACGAATGGAAAATCTTCATAATAACATACGAGTCACTTACGTTCAGCCGGAGAAGTGTCAAACACAGACGATTTTCCACCGGTACCACCAGGTTGAAGTACACGGCTACTGGTATGAATAGTGCGTCGGGATGGATCCTCTGATAATAAATCATCCAAACACGTTGTCTTTAATAAGTTCAAACAAGCTTCAAAGTCAATTCACTATTCATCGCCAACTTACGGTTTATCTGGCCAGAAACGCCAGAAGAAACAGAGGCATTATCATCATGGTCGTCAGCAATTGTGAACTGGGTTGCATTTTTATTGGGATTGTATCTCGTATTTGTGGCTGAACATGCGGTATGAGAAGCAAAAGAGTTGAGTAAGGCAATGCACGAATGGAAACCTCCTCATAAATAAATACATGCAATATACGAGCCCGCTTACGTTCAGCCGGAGAAGTGTCGAACACGGATGATTTTCCGCCGGTACCACCGGGTTGAAGTACACGGCTGCTGGTATGAACGTTGCGTCGGGATGGATCCTCTGTTAACAAATGCCGAGATCAGTCATTTAAAAACACGTTTTCTTTAACAATTCAAAACACGCAAATCATCAGCTTACGATTTATATTCATTTGCGCTACTCCACCAGAAATGTCGTATGGATTCAGGTGGGCTCTAGTAATATCACGGACGGCATCGATCTGCCGTTCACCAACGATCGGCCATGAGTTCTTGTCGCTAATACTGTGTACAGGAAGACGAATAAAGCGTCAAATCGGCGAGTAGTTTGCGTATTTGAGGCTGTCGAATCGAATGATTAAAAGAATGGTAATTACAGTTTGAGTTGCTTGAGGACTGAGGCTTGATCCCAATAGAGTCTGAAACAAATGTGAATAATAAAATGTAATTTATGTTTAGTCGACCTTTCATATCTCGTTATTGTTTAAAACAAGCATCGGGTTAGTTACCGAATAGACGAAATCCTATTATTCTCAAAAGTTGCCGAGGTTACCTATAAACTTGCGAATCATCCAATCAGGCATGACTATATATACGTAATACATAGTGTTCGCCCTCTTATTACGTCAAATATTCGGTCTTACCACCGGAATAACAATCCTCGCATCAACGGCATGTCGAGAATCCACTCCAGGAATCAGCCACCCGCATTCTCCCGTCAGAAAGGAAATCGTAGTCTCCGTTTCTTCCACAAGCGCATTGTTTGATACGGTAGTAAATAACACTTTCTCCTTGACATCAACGATACGCCTATCATAAGACCTAGCAAGCAATTGCCTGACTGCATCATAACCTCGAGCACCCGCTGCGGTGGGAACGAAGACTAATGTAACATTGTCAGTAAAGTGATCTCCGTCGCGTGAACGTTTGTATTCGGCCCAGATTTCATTGACAGTCATTGTGAGAGCTTTGGTATTGAAGAGAGACAAAAGTAGCTATGAATGAAAAACGAGCGAGTGGAAGAGATAGTAGAAGGGAATGTCAGCAATAATGTTAGTGATATTATCAAGTCTGCTTAACATTAAATGACATAGAACCTAATCAAACACTCATATATACCAATTACGCGTTCAAGTTAATTTCTCTATAATCATACATTCCCTTACTTTACATCCTATTTATCATTGCAAAAAATATGGTTACACATAGTCGAATATTCTTGCTCCTTGTTTCGGTTGAAGTATAATGATTAGATTGGATGATGATGAAGATTGGAGATTGCCAAACGTTTCAAGTGCCACGCAGACATATTTTCGTCTGAGAATTAACTTGAAACATTTTGTTTTCGCTCTCTCCGAATTGGTCTCTAATATCCAAGTCTTTCTAATTTCCTGCATTGTGTCAGTCGTGTTTTATAAATTGCACTTTCTAGTGTTCATCAAGAAAATAAACAATCTCTCTTGTCGAACGGAAGAAAATGCCCCTAAAAGTCGCGCTCATTCTATATTAACGATGCATTACGGAACTACGCGTTTTGCAATAACAGTTCGGGCAAACATACTGAAGCCACTTATTCAGTTGAGCTCAACGTAGAACGTGCGCCTTGAACACTCTTGTGCTTACAATAATTTGGAAGCTTTAAATAATTGCCTATTCGAAGCAAAAAGTGATTGTTATTCGTAGTTTTCGCCTATAATTTCTAGATCACAGCATGCTTGCAGCACAGACATTCTTATTCGCTTTCGGATAAATGCCTTGCACGTAGTGTACTACTCTATGCTCTAAACGTCGAATGGAAAATTGTTAGGTAAATTAGTGTTGACAAGGATGCGTGGTGCGATGTGAAAGAGGTATCATTTAATGTTAATAAGTTTATAGTTTGATCGATTCAGTTACTGGTTCAAGCAAAATGGTCGCGTTCATGTCTTCTAACCCAATGTAGTTAATCATTGCCCTCGTTGACATTCACACGATAATTATGTGTATCTTACGTTAACATTATTTATTATCTCTAGTTATCGTTTGTTTAACATAATCTTAAATTAATTTATAACGGCAGAATGACTACTTTCTAGTTAATTTAATTTCTCTTCATCCATTTCGTATCCTTGGTACCCATTGGGATTAGCTTCCCGAATCCTAAAAGTAACCAAGAAAAAAAATTTGTTTAATATCATGATATTATTCCGGTTACTGTATTAATACACAAAGACTATAATACTCACAATCTCAAGAATGCCTCTTCCAAACTCTTTTGACTCACTCCCCATGCCTTGATCAACTTCTTAGTCGGCTCGGCTGTACTCGCCTCTTTGTTATCCTCCATCCACATAATCAAGTTGGGAAGAATATGCATTGAAGACGCTGGTATTTCGTATATCAATGCGCCGGCACTGTCATCCTCTAGTTTTGCCTCACTCACTCTAGCCTCTACGCGGGATTTTAAAAGAGGAGCATCGGATGGATGACAAACAAGAGAAACACGATATCCGGCGCCGAATCGGTTTTTCAAATGAATAGCGTTGCCCAATGCACGCAACCTCCCATGAGCCATAATAGATATGCGGTCACCAAGCACATCAGCTTCCTCCATAGAATGGGTGGTCAGCACGATAACACGGCCGCGTTTGAAGTTTTCGATAAACGACCATACGTGACGGCGATTCACTGGGTCCATACCAGTTGTGGGTTCATCAAGGAAGATAATGCGTGGGTCCCCTATTGTAGAGATAAGCATACTGAGACGACGCTTCATGCCTCCACTATAAGTGCCAGCTGGCTTGTCAGCTACTTTGGTGAGTCTAACAGCCGCCAATCTCTCTTCGGTAAGCTTCTTGATTTCATCCGCTGGAACGTTCTTAATTCCCGCATATAGCTCAATGTGTTCTCTTGCAGTAAGATCATTAAATAGAATATCATGCTGGGGACATACGCCCATGATTTTGCGAATAGAGTCCATCTCATTGCGGACGCTGTATCCATACAACAGCGCATCGCCACTAGTAGCGGGAGTTAATCCAGAGAGAATGTTCATGGTAGTACTCTTACCGGCCCCATTCTGTCCGAGTAGGGCAAGACATTTACCTTCCTTGAGAGCGAGACAGAGATCTCTCACCGCCACTTTATCTAATTTACTCTTATACAACCAAGATTGGCGATAAACTTTACGCAAGTTGCAAATACGCAAGGCCACATCCTGACTAGGATCAAAAGCAACAAGTCTCTCGGCGGCTACATCTTCATCTTCTTTATAGTCGGGATCATCATCATCTGGTTTCTTCTGGAGTTTGGCCAACAATTGTTCAGTATTAGTGTTCCTTTTGAATTTAATTCCCCAGAAACTGGGATACAAGAAGAATACGGGACTACGACGAGTACCAAATTCGTCTGGCAAAATCTTGTCGAAATACCAAGTGAGCAGACAGTAAAGGCCAATATCCATTAATAACAAATACCAACTCTGCACGGGTGGAGGCACGAGAGGTGTGCGTCCGGCTGCATCATACGTGGGAAGGTATTCGTTTGGAATAGGGTTAAAAAGATCATGCCATTTAAATCCTGGTCCTTTAATAATAGTTTCCGTTAGAAAGTCGAATTTTCCGGTTGATAGTTTAGAGATGTCAAGGTAGATTTTTCCAAAATTGAAAAAGGGTAGGAGCGAGAAGATGTGCCGAAAATATGACGCGGTCTTTACATCCCACCAGATATATCCGACAAAGTTGTTCGAGAAGACGAATGATTGGAAAAGCAATCCAATGATAAAGACAAAGATACCGTTCAATACTGCCACACGAGCCTTTCTGCACCAGACAGTAATGAAGAAAGCAAATGATACCATTGCCATGCCAAAAAGAATAAACGTTATTATCAGAACAAGGAAGTTGGTATTTGTGAACACTTCGAATCGAAATATGAATCCCAGGAAGCAGGTAATAATAGAACAGATAATCACAAGCCAGGCGTTCGATAACAGATAGCTTAACCAGTACACTTCGACCTTCAGCCCCATCATAATCAAACTATCTCTCAGCTTTTGTTCTTTTTCGGTAACGATCGTGTTCAGCACAACAATAAAGATGATCATCTCCGCACAGAAGAAGAACAAACTCCCAAGTGAACCAACAATCTCATCTCCGACCACAGAAGGCGGCACTTTTGGCCAGTCTTTGAGTTGCACGTTAAACGTTGGCGTGGTGTCTACCGTTTGTCCGGAATTAGTAGCAACAGCAATGATGGCTTCGTCAAGGCCACGTTGAAAGGCGACTATTTGATCACTGAATACATCAGAGTTGTTAGCGGATTGAGTGCTGTTAAACCAGATCTGGTAGCGGTAATTAGTTGTCGGTTGGTGAACAGTGGTGAATTCTATACCGAACAATGTAGTGTTTGGATTTTGGAGTGTGTAGTCGTAGATGAATTGCGCGTTTGGGACGGGTATTATGCCGAGGTTGTCTGTCGGTACATCGGTCAGAGCTGTGCGTATATACGAAAAGAAAAGTGGACGTTAGAGACAATTGCGTGTATATACACATATGTATCCCAAGTCTTTTCATATTATACTGACCCAAGTTCACGCTTTCGATATTTAGTGGTGCTTCTCCCGTTCTCTGTGCATTCTTGGCAGAAAAGATTTGTAGAATTTGTCTATTTTCAGGATTGTCGGGAGTAAATAGAATATTTATACATGGATCTCCCTCGTTTCTCCCTTGACAACGAACGACACCATCGAGATCATATGGTATGGGGTGACGGTTTGACTTTTTTACGTTTGCTTTGTCAGCTTCGTTTAGAATGAATAGCAATAGGATGAATATGAGTGGACCCAGGAATATTTGAGCGATGGTCGATTTGCGGTAACGAATCTAAACAAATCAAAAAGTGAGCGAGGGTCAATACGCGACGATGGTAATCTTGAAAATGGAAATTAACGATCTACCTGTAATATGGCATTACGCTTAAGCATAACCCGCAGCTGCTTCAAGGACAGTAAGAAAGGATTGGCTGTGCGATTCTCAATTTGTTGCTTGACATCTTGTTGGCTTATTTCCTCACTACTTTGAGCCGAGATACTTTGATCAAGAGAAATTTGACTTCCGCCCCCATTACGGGCTGTATCCGGCGACAGGTAAGCCATTGTATGAATGGATTATTTTGAGAGAAATGGGTCTATTTATGCTCCAAATAAAATAGATGAAGCGATTGTAAGATTGTGTATTCGTTCCTCCTTGTACCTATTATTTTTATTATATTTACAAGTTATAGTGTTTTTTTTTTTAAAGTTTTGGATCCTTGCGGTTAAGTATATTTATAAATATTTTTTCTAGACCGGTTCTTCTCAGTGGTTGCAGAAATTACTTCTATACCAAAACTCGTAGCAATGGCGATATCCCTTCTGACCTTTATGAATATTGATGCCAAGAACAGTTTCTGTGCCTAGGAAAACAATGGTAAAGGAAGTCTACCAAACTTTGGATAATAATGTTTCATCGTTTATAAGCTGACAGAATGTAACTTTAAGTGTTCATCGTACTGTATGTATATAAAAACGTATTGTTATCCAAGATATGGCATTTGGTACGATCTGCAAATTCGGGAAGTAGATCCGGATACCCGAAAAGAACAAACATACATCGGGAAAAGAGGATGTTTTCGGAGAGAATGTCAGATTTAGTTTACAAATAGTAGAATATATATTTTTACATTGTAAACTTATAAATTTAATGAAACTGAAACCAATGCATTTTTTTTGTTTGACCATATTTGGGAGAACATTGACGAATTAAGTCCCGCCCACTAAATCTTATGAGACTGTTCTTACGTTCTTGCCAATATTAGGGTTAATAATAGCGAATAATAAATGATATCGGATGTTACCCGACATTATTACAATCACACATCTACACATCCAATAAAGCAAGTAATGTAATTAATGACATGTGCATATATATTAGTATGTATGACAAACATAAATTTCCGCAGCCTCCGCAGCGTATTGGTATTAGTATATTAATATCCGTACCCGCCACAACTAGCCGAACTTCCATGCTAACATAACCCCGTTTGTCAAACGCCACACATGTCTCATGTCAAGTGTCAATTAAAGGCAAAAAATTGGTAACATCGATCACCGTGATACCATACATGGGTAGTACTATGATCGGTTTATTCGGTCCTTTTTTTGGCGCGCATATGCTGTGCAACTAAGAAAAACACGTTCGAAAGCACTGTTTACACCTTTTGCGTGGCAATGTTTGGTCGTTTTGCTTATTGTCAAGCTTTATATGGGTAAATATCTTAAATCCAAGAAAGAAATCAATGATTGTACATGATGTGATGCTTGCGCTATTGGATAGGATTTGTCATTGAATGCTTATAAACTCTCCAATTAAATATTACAAGTTAAACAACTAATATTGTTCTAATATAAGCATCGACTAATTGTGCGTAATGAGATGTCTAAACGATAAATCACACGAATCATTAGACGCAAAAAGCAAAACAAGATATGTTTCGAGTTTCGATGAACGTTGTTATGTGCAGTCGCCTGGGAAAGCGTTGTTCTCAACTTAGCTCATAAGACAACCTTGCTAACGTGCCTGTTTTAATTAAGGCGTCATCTAATGTTTCGTATACATTTCTTGTCGCCAAAATATACTTGCGCTACTCTGAGTTGTTAATTTGCTATAAAGTTGAACCAAACGTCTCGTCGTTTATGATGCTAATATTTTCTAAATTAGGTTAATTTATTTAAAAATTTTTTAAGAAAACAAACTTATAACAACATTTGACTATGACATAATTTTTTAATCGGAGTATACCAAGAAGGGACAATATAAACTTGCTTAGTTTTCCCTGGACGAGTATGACTAGTTTATATGTAGAACGATAGATTACAGTCGACTCTCTTTATAAGAACCAACTCAAACAAAACAATTACGAACAAACTTGTGGTGTTTACGGTCTGTCTCTTAACACTGTTCACTAACAGACTTTAGGAAACGCCAAAACGTCTCAGTGAAGAGCTATATCGGAAAATCGTATACATACATCGTGAACAAGGAGAAAGCGCATATTTCCTGCTCTACCGTTTGTAACCGCTTGATAACATAGGGGGAATGAATTGTATCAACGTTCTACGTGGAAGAAGAAAAGTTATTTGAGGCAGAAGATGCAGAGTATATATTTTGGCTTTGTTGTTAGTTGACTGAACACTAACTATGGTTTTTGTCGAATATAGTAAATTGGTATTAGACAATTCAGTTTCTGGTGTGAGTCGAAGATTTTTTTATGGAAACTGGTTTATTCGTAATATCAAGTCCTGGTTAGAGATATTCTGTATTGATCGATGAGGGAAGGGAGATTGCTATGTCGCTACGATATGTTGTTGTGGATTGCTGTATTTTTTTTTTGCCTGCCTTATTATTTCAGCCCATATGAATCGATGCAAGCGTACAATTGGTGCACATGTTAGCAAAAATTATTCCCGTTCAACCAAACTTGTCACTAGCACAGTTACATTCTGCTACAACAAAAAAACGTCCCGGGCGGCAAAAACACTTACTGACCGGGATAGACGGAGGACGGTACTGTTAGAAGATATCTACATGATGATGGTATTCAATGTTGCACTGCAATATTAAGATAATGTAGAGAAAACGTGAATAGCAAACTAACATTGATACATTTGGGAGTGGACGTTGATGTGATTGGAAAGATTACTATAAGAGTGTGCGCGTACCCTTGCGTATATGCTATCCTCATCGCTCCCCTTAAGAACGGAAAGAACTAGTATGGTCAGGTTTACTTTTTTAAGTCAGATGATCGAGCGGGAAAGCGCTTATAACAGAGATTGTATCCAAGTACAGTTAATTTGGTGAGAATGGAATTGACCCTTTAGTTTAATCTCACATATACTACCACACTCGAAACATGGATTCCGGGCTCATAGTAATGTTGTAGCTACTAATCTTATACCCTGGCGGAATTATCTTGATTCAGCCTTTCAGCAAGATGGAACATCATGCCATACTGTTTCATATACACTTGGTAAATGTATTCGATTTTTAAATTGAATTGCAAAGCGGGATTTGATAAACTGCAATTCAAGAGGAATGGAGTACCATTATTAAATATGGACGTACCGCATCGAATAAATGCTGTTATTAAGGTAAAAATTGGGAACACCAAGGATGTGCTTCTGACATTTTCATTATACGACAATAAAAGCAGTATTGTCGGTACTTGATAAATTTGAAAATTGCCAATGTCCACGTTAACACGTGATACAAAAAGTCTTCTATTTAGCATGGGGCTTCCTTTACAAGTATGTACAGCTTAAATGAGTTAATAAAAGTGCGAACTACTGATGAGAATGAGTGCAATGCGTAGGATACACCAAATTGAAACTGTCGCAATAGCCCTTTGTCTATGTAAGCGGATATACTTGTAGAAATATTTTACAATGAGAACTCTGGAAATTTGTTCCGGTACAAAACATAAGAAATGCGTTATACGTAATACCCCAGTATGAAATGCTGATTCAAAGATTACTAGCTCGTCGAAGCGGATACAGAGACAATTTGAACGGCAAAATCTCAAAATTAATGACAGAACCTCTCTGCCGTGATAAACATGAAATACGAAAAAAGCCACCGAAAAAGTGCATAACTTGTGAAAGCTTTATTCTTATACCGTTTGAGAACAGTTTTCCTCCAAACCCGCAACCACGTGGAGCGTGAAAGCCAATATTCAAGAGCGATAGATATGCAAAGGGTAGGTTTGTATTTTTAAATGCTATTCCGAACAGCATCGTTTAGTCAAAGCGACCGAGTTTGAAAATGCTCGCGACATCAGAATTTCATTGTACTTATTATTTATATTATCCTTATTAGTATATTGAGATTATCGACCAATCACATAAACGCAGCACTGCACCAGTGATAAAGAATGTCAAAAATCAAAGTTACTGTACTTGCCACTCGAAATATGAGGCGCTCTGCACTCTCTTTTAAACAAGAAGGTAACGACAGTTGTCTGATATCACTCACCAATTCATTTACCTGATGTACGTCTTACCATTTAGATGCTTCTCCTGAGGGTAACGAGGACGACGATCTGTTCTCAGGCCTTGATGTCAAGTCCACTGAACAAGGTATAGAAGCTAATTAGTAATTCCCTAAATTCGCTGCAACATTACAAGCTAGTTTTGATTCTCGTAGACCGCTATAGTCACACCTCTCGTGATCTCTTTTCACGGCTTGCCAGCCGATGTTTGTACGTTCATAAAGCTGTTGAATATCACCAACTCAACATTAGCCCATAATTCGGAATGTGGCGCATTAGATAAAGAAATTAAGAATTGTATCAAGGATTTCTGGTTGTTGAATGATCAGTGAGCAAGTCATAGCGAGAATTGGTCAATCAGAATTATTGACGCGTCCTGTTCTGGTGTTACCGGCAGTACATCAGTAAGCATCAGCAGCACCCTCGAATCACTATAACATGCACAACATAAAACTTTTAATTCATAATGATTCGACTTAAACCTGGCGACTGTTTGTATGACTATTCATAAGTGATATCTCTATTAAATACCGTTTCTAGTCAAAAACTCGGCAATAGCGGCGTCGTCGTCAAGATCGATCGTTGACAGCCAATCTCTTATAACGAACTATGTGAACAACTTTGAACCGTCATTTGCAAGTGTGACGTTTGATCTAGGCAGTGATTCAAGCTCTGGTAAGTTGATACCCTACCGTTCGGCGACTGCAATTTCCGCGCTATAAGATCCGTGGATATCATTTCGAATCATTGTAATGTAGTGTCAAAACTGCAAACAAGAGGATTTCCTCTTAAATTGGAGACCCATTACTTTAGATAGACATAGTAATGTTGTAGTCCGGAAGTTGCGGCGTTTCGCTAAAGTTGTAAGAGTTGCAGTTGATTTAAAAGTCCCATATATTCCTGAATACATTAACCCAAAGCCAACAATAAACAGAACGATGAAGAATCTTCCGTTTTTGATTTCATACGGAGTTCATCCTCTCGTAAAAAGATAGCATCGTTGGATGAGTTCGAGGGTCTCGAATTTAAATCATCGCACGGAGGTATGTATAAGTTCGGCTTTCCAAATTTTGTTGATTTAATTAAACTGACGTATACCTATATCGATCTTGTTAGTATTTGCTTTCCAAATGAGTGATTCATCTAATAAATCAAATGACTTGACGCGTTCTATACTGGAACGACAAGGATCGTGGAGTCAGCCTATGAACCGATCTAAAAAAGTTTCGTTGGACGAGCTCGATTTAAATTCCGCAACTCCCCCTAACACTAGTCCGACAGTGTTTTCTCCAATACGATCAATTTCATCGGGTTCAACGAAACTTGCAAGTGTACAATCTGACATCAAAGTGATAGAAGCAGAGATACTGCAAGTCTGTGAAAATCAATCCAGATGTTTTCAGAGAAGAAATAAAATTTATGAAAACTCTGTAGAGGTACCAGTTCTTCTGAATAATATTATTCCCATCCATGTTTTAATAAGAACTAACCTGCGAATTTCACAATGAAATGAAGTTGTGGCGAGAAATTGCGTCTTTGGAGAAGATTCAGTCCGAAGCTCTGAAGAATGAGGATTATTCGAAAGCCGATACATTAACTCATGAAATACAAAACAAATACGCTTCTACGAAAAGAAATCAACAGGCGCTGTCTATTATAGAACAGTCTTTGCGCGAGCTTAGGCAGAAGCACGTGAATTTATTTAAAAGCTTAGTTCAAGCTCAAAAGACATTGGAAAATTTTTATGAAGCCGAAAAGGTAGTTTCCACTATTCCGACTATACTCAACCGGCATTATTAACGTCAAGTCGTTTTGTTAGGATAAAACCAGGAAACGGCTGCAGCAACATGTTGTTGATGTCGAGGGTTTGAATAAAACGGAAACAGCGCGGATTAATGATTTACGTGAACAGCTAGAGAAAGAACAAAGGTTAGTCATATGTATCATTTCTTAACAATAATCAAAGATTCTGACAAATCATACCAATATCAAACATTGTTAGTGAGGTAGTTTTTGACGCAGATATTTTATCAAAGAATGAAGCGGAACTGAACGAAAAGATTGAAGAACACACTCGTAGCGAAGTAGCTGAAAGGGATTCACTGTCAAAAAAGAGACAAGAAATAAGGGTATGTAAAATTTGCAGAATTTCTCGGTTGACTAGTGAAGTGGCATCGGATTCATCAATTCTTTATCCATACAGACGGAAATTAGCGATCTTCTTTTTCGAGTCGAACAATTACGTTTTGAAGAGAAGAACTATACAGTCAAAATAGAAGAACTAGATAAGAAAGTTGCTAGTATAACCGAGCAGTTTCAGCCCGAAAAAGAAGAAATTCTGAGAGAAAAAAGCGAGTTGGATAAAAGAGAGAAGGAGTTAGAGAAAAAGATGGTACGAAAACGTTTATCTGATACGTGGCACTTAATAATATGTTAACAAATTAATTCCCCAACGTTCGTTAGACGTCGGTAAACAGCACCGAAACTCAATTACAGGAGAAACTTGAACGTTACAAACTGGAACAAGAAACTATGGAAACAAACTTGAAAACATTGGAGCTTCAGATGGCAGACTTGGCTGTAATTATGAACAAATTTGAAGACGAATCGATAGAGATGACTAAACTCATTGATTATTTCGAAAATCGAGCAAAACGTGATAGTGAATGGGACAAGGAAATTTTAATGTAAATATTGAAGAGATAACAGGCTTGGTTTATATTGAGATTTGGGGCTTACGAATAATTTTTGGCCATAATAGTGCTCAGAATGCCGTAGATCAATTGGACGAGCAAGTGAAATTGTTGACTTCACGAGTCATACAGGATCAGCAAACGTATTCATCTGTTCAACAAGATATTGCTACTATTGATACACAATTACCCGCGCTCGAAGAACAGAAAAAACTGGCTGTTGCCGGTAAGTCGACTAGAGATTCCGAATCGGACGAGGCGAACCAATCTCACTGGAAACTATTGTTTAGGTAGAGATTTTAGAGTTGCTGGACGCCTATCCAGTCGGATCAAAGATTTGAAGTCTACACACGAAGAACGTGTAACCTTTTTGGTTGGCAAACGCGAGAGTCTAGAGAAAGATCAAGAAGCACTTAGGGTTGCTAAAAAGAACCTAGAAGAGCAGAATAAGAAGCTGGCTGAAGTGAAAAGAAAAACTGGTACCTATTTTTTGTAAATAACGCAGTTTGGTAACTTACAGTTCCTGTTTAAGCATTTGTAAAACGCTTCATTATAGGTGCTGAACTGTATGGAGAGCTATCGGAATCTCTATTACAGCTTCGTTCTCGTTATGATATGTAAGTGATAAGATAATAGAATATGGTCGTTGTATGTCTCAACCTGAATATTCAAGTTTAACGTTTGTCGCATTTAGGATAAAACAAAAAGACTACAAGGAGTTGGAGGCTTTGCTGCAAAACGAGATTAAAAATCTCGAGTATCGCATTGAGCATATACAAATGAGCCATGGGTTATCCGAGAGCAGTCAAGTTTCGGAAGGTGGACCGAATACTCAGCCGAAAAGTCCGGATACGGGTGAGTATTATTAATTGGTTATTGTATTGGCAGAACCGATTTTTTCTTACTAACGCCCATTACATCAAAGAATCTGAGACAGTAGTGCTAGTGGATAACGGCGTTAGATTACAGCAATTGGAGGCGGAATTGGAGGATGCGGTGAAAAAGGAAGACTACGATCTCGCAGGTACGAATGTAGTAAGATAAGCGACGTTGGCCTTATTATTATAAAGAGTAGCTTTGTTAACAATACATTAATGTCTACAGATCAGATAGAAACAACAATTAAAACAATTCGGAATAGTATTTCGCACCAATAATAGAGTACGAGACTATTTGCTGAACGTGTCAAACGATTAAGAAGTTAGTAATACCAGTTGTTTAGATCTATAACTGATTCGTAAATCAAAGAAGACAATCGAGAACGTATGAAGGATGAAGTTTAGTCTTTTGCTGCTTTATCACTATTTTAGTTAGTCTTTTAGTTTCTTCGGAACTTTCACCGGTTTCATTCAAGTTGTATCAAAAAGTTCTCCGAGATCAGCTTGCATTACCACCTTTTGGAAATTGCCGTTGTATAATGCGTGTCAAAATTAGGTTTCGCCCATAAAAGTCAAAACCAACATGTTAACTTATCTTGGACTTGCATATTATCACGCGAATTACATAAAAGAAATAAAAAGTCCAAAAGTGTCCAAATATAATACAGGGTTTGCGATGTATCTTTAATTGCGTATTGTGTTATAAATCGGGAATGGGCAAATCAATGTTGAACGCAGCACATATATAGTGAGCACTTTATCTATGGCATGTGATATCGATAATTACAAAAGAGTCGAAAATTCTCTTCAATCGAGCAGGCTTGTACCCTGCATTCTAATCATAAACTGACTATCGCGCCTATCAAGGCTTACACACTATTGTCCAATCCAAATAAAGACGATTCGTGAAGACTTGCAGAAAAATCTTGTCTTATTAACCGGACATTTTGATGAAAACAATGTTAGGAAAGCACGCATCATCCGGCCAATCTTTTTACACCGGTCGATCATGTAATGCAATAGATAAAAAATAATAATAAATCCAGAGTTTCATTCCTTGCTTACAGAAAAAAGAAATTTGTCAAATTAAGCCAAGAAATCCTTACTGTTTAATTGCGGAAACTTTGCTTGTGACGCGGTACGATTAGTGGCATACTTTGTGAAAAAAATAAGAGATTCTCTATTAGAGAAAATAAAATGACGACAATGTTATTGAAATAGTCATATCCGAGAGTAATGAGCCAGACATAAATGATTGTAATAATGACAGTGAGGTCAGTCAGACTCTGAAAATGGTCGTTGAGGCGACATTGACTGCTCTTAAACCAATGACCAAAATTATCGAACAACGGTCAGATAATTCATTCATTGCACGAGAAGATGTGGTCAACTTATTAGCACTTACGACGTAATGTTGAGCTAAGCAAAATGGACAATCTAGGTTGATCACTTTTAGAAGGAATAAAACTTGTTATTACATAATGGATTGTCCTTATATGTACCCTTGTATTGCTTGCCTTTTATACCTTTATATCGTTTTTCCTTACACCGGTCAAAAAAAAATCGTGGATGGTATAAAGAGGTTTCACTGTATTTATTAAGAACGTTGTTGAAGATTTCAACAGAGATGTAATTAAACATGATTTGATGTGATGGTGAGTACAAGTCCAAAAATCTCTATAGATTGTAGTTTCCAAGAAACATAATAAGCACGTTTTTGTACTGAAGCTGTAATTCGATGAAGTTGTGACATACATGTTACATATATAAACAAATTACGGTTTCAGTACAACAACGTGCCGCTCGATGGCTTAAAATTTTGGCAGCAGATACAAAGGTGGATAGGTTGAAGTTAACGCTCATGACCTACAGTACTTAACTCTGGGGATGACTGGTAAGTTTATCATTATGGGCAAACGCGATCAAAGAAAAAGATAATGTGAGAGATAGCCACGTGATTATTCAATACCAATCCATTATACAACATCTCTCTACGCTAATTGATAATCATTTCTTCTGCGCAGAATGATAAATATCATTGATATTACCAAAATAAAATTAATATATTTTTACCATCGCCTACAAACATCCTACGTAACAGAGCAAAAATATCAGAAGTATATTTGGAAAGCGAGGTCGCATAAACTATTCATTTGAAACATGCAATTTTATTAAGTTAATGAATTCGTTTAATGACGCCTTTTCTACTGACTCATCTAAGATTACGATATCATATTTCTGTTGTAAATACTCTTTGTTCCAAAAACTTTTAACTATATCAAGTACCTGTCTTCCCGTTTGCACATACCACCTCGTTATTTGAGTGTAGCTTGAAAATACCTTTCACAATACCAAGGAATGCCGTCGTAAGTTGTATATACCGCATTGGCAACCTTCCTATCGTACGCAAGTCTCTGATGGCAGAATTCGCGATTGCCTAATTCGGTGATTATAATTACGATCAGATGGATGGCGCGTGGGTACTTTTGCGGTAAATGGTTTATTATAGCTTGTCATTTAAAGGCGTATACATTGGCGTATTTACATTTACTAAAAATCCATTGATCTGAAACCAAATTATCATCATAAAACGGTTAGTTATTGCCAAGAACAATTTTCTTAATTTGCAAAACTGAACACCTGAAACACGATATTCGTTTCAGTTAAATTTGTTGTTTAAAACGTTGCTGAAAAAAATACGGTTTTAATTTATTAGATCGACATTAATAGTCAGTAATATTAATTAAAAAGGTTTTACAATGTCGCTTTCATTCGATCACATGGCATTTTCGGGGAAGCGTTGGATTCTGCATTGGGATTCTTTATTGTCGAGCATTTATGGAAGAGTTAATTGTAAGGTGTACTCAGTGGTTCAGACGGATAAATAAAAACAATAAACACGTACACGTTCATTTTGGGGCTCTTAGTCAATTTCCCTAGCTGTAACTTCTAGTTCTGGTTCATATATTAAAATCGTTCGAGACCGGGACTGTGAAGACAATGTCTCTTTCTGTATACTGCTTAAATTGAATGTATTTTACATTATTTTTGGCATCCAGCGCGCTTTTTGGAATTCGACGTTAATAAAACTCGTTATAGAGAGTTCCGATGCAAATGAAGCTCCTTACTAGAAAAACCCGATAATAAGATGTTCATTAAAAGTTTGAGCGAATGCGGCGATATGAAAAGTTTTGCTTTTTTTCAAACGATAACTCGATCCTGTTCACCCGTTAGTTGCATGGACAAGATGACAATAGCAATAGAATTTTAACCAAGTGTTTGGACAAGTGAATTGTGCGCAAGTATTTACACATGCAAAAAGTTAAAACTTAATATGACAAGTCCGCTTTTTTGCGGGACATTTACAAAGTTAGACTCCATTTAAGGAACGACGATAGTAAATGCAATACATCATCCATTTCCTTTTAAGAAGATGACAGACAGCTTAAATGACACTTAAATAGGTTAAAATCTCGTTCTATTTCTATTTATATGTTAGTATGACGTAATTGGGATGCTCGGACCATTCTACTGTTTAATTGAATTATTGATCGCATAACCATGATTTAATGTTAACTATTAACGGATTGAACATTCTCACACTATCTTATCTCCAAGTGCAGAGAGGGTTGGCGGGAATGTTCTGATTATATTGACGAACAGATTCCATCATATGGTCTAACATGATAGTAATGATCGGCGTTGAACGTTCTTTTTCCTTTCCAAGCCTGCATGGGATGTCAAGATGAAACGACAGCGACGTTACGAATTGAAAACCATGAGTAACAAAGAGTCTAATAATATCCAGCTTGGTTGAATAAGGCAAAGCCAAAGGTTTTGACAGAATGTTTATCTTCCGGATGATTACCTTATAAACATTGCAGCTAACCAAATGCACGGGATCGAAACATTTTACAGTTTTACGACCTAACAATGATAGCAATTCTCGATTGGGATTTTTATATTCTTAATACGTGTGCGCAGAAAGTATTAGGTTTTTACAATCCAAAAAATTTATTGCTCTCATTTGTGAGTTGCTGAAAAGTATAGATAGTTTGGTCTCGTTGAACAATATCGTCACTTGAGTAACACCTTTATGGAAAAAAAAAATCGTAATCATACGTTGCTGCGTTGCTGATGCTGATGCTGATGCTGATGCTGATTCTGATGCTATTGTTTGCTACTACTACTGTCATCGTTGTCGTTGCCAAGTTGTCATTGTTGTTGTCGCCGTGTTGTCATAGTAATAGTAACAGTAGTAGTAATAGTCGTGGTAATAACAATTGTCGTCATTGCATCATATTATCAGTAGTTTAATATTGTCGTTTACGCCTATAATAATAAACAAGAAAAAAAAAGGCCCGAAAATCGAAAACAAACGGGCTATGATGATGAGATGGGTAGACATATGTTTCACAACAAGTTGACTTTCCCATGCCATGTCTTGTTGACTAGCGTGCATTGGCTGATTCGATATTAACTGTCACTCAGCTTACGGAATTGTACCGCGAGGATGTTGATATTTATAGGCTGCACAGTAACGGTAAACATGAATACCTTGCATACAAGTCAGCCAACACTTTTCTTGACCTTTATTATGTACCGTGTTGCATCTCTTTTTTATTAGTAGTTTGACGGCATATACATCAATCGTGTAATTGTTATCCTCAGCCACCAATTGTTCTTGACATCGAGCCAATCTTTTTGTTCAATCACGACGTTCATATTTGGTATGTATATAAGAACCTTTTTTCCCTCCATTTAGATCCAACATAGCGCATCTCGCTTTTTACCATCTCCCAAAATTTACTAATAATTTTTTTAATAGAGGTTTATTATTACCGCTTTTGTAAACTATTATCCCATATTAATATATATATTAATATTACTCTACAATCTTTTAATCGCCATTTAAACTGCTTTACCTCTTCTCCATTCCAAACTATAATTATTTCCACATACTAATATCATCTCTCACCTTTAAAGCATACAAAGACATGCTACCAATCACTGACGCACAAGCGAGCGTTGCTCTCAATCTCAAGAAAAATTCAACCTTGACGGTGTTTACCAAGTGGGCAAAGACACAACTGCGGAAATCAAAAATAAAACCTTCCGACAATAATACCACCACAGATATTGAGGACCGAAAGCAACCTAATAACCGGAACCGCCTACTTTCAAAGAAGGCAACTTCTAACAAAGTAGAAAATAATGACGACATTAACATTAATACTATCACTTTACCTAAACCTAATTTCAGTATATCGTTCATTGAAGAACTATATACGTCATGTCCCTTTATACTAGGACACGAACACCTTCCTGATGCCGTTTCTCCGTCACAGACACCCGTCTCGACCTTTGACCACAAAAAACTAGACAAATCGCAACTATTCTATAATGCAACCATCCCGTCGGGCTCGCCGAGACATTTTGCATACACACAGACTCTCCGTAAATACAAAGACGCAAGCCGCGACGTCAGACCCCTATACAACATAGTCCTTCTGACGTCCGTTTTGAAGAAACTACAACACACCAGGCCGCTTACCCTCAGCGAAGAACAAGAGCTACGACTCTACAAATCAAAAATGTCTCGCATTACCACGCAAGATAAGGAGTCACGCGACCCACGGAGTAATGACAAATGTGGTAACAGAAAGGGCAAGAACGTTGAAGGAAGATCAGTATCGTTTCGTAGTTTTTCTTTCGCGCAAAAAGCCCGAACAAACAATAAGGGTCAATCTCAGCCGGGCACGCAGCCGCTTGCGCCGTATCTTCCCAAGAAAATCACTTCGTTGTCTCAATACCGTGCTTCGTATGCATCTCAAACTGTAGTCATTACGATAGATGACAAGTCAAACAAGCTACTGACTCGTGATCTACCAATGGCACGTCGCCATCGTCGTCTATTTTCGTCATCAGACGTTCCAGAACGGGCGTCATCGTTATCGTCTCCTTTGTCATCACCATCACCGGCTGCAGTCAAGAAGAACTCTTGCAACAATCAAAAATGGGAGAAAGGAACACGAATAAGACCTTGGCCGGTTAAACGGAATGATGTGTTGAAAGACGATGACGATGGACATGTTGATTTAGATGAAGTGCCATTATATGTGTTGAGAGAGCAATATAAATATTCTGGACGTAACTGCTCATATTCTGGTAATCGAGAACTAGTAAACGATGGAAATAAGCCAATGGCCTTGGCCATGTAAAAAAGAAAAATAAAACCAAAATCATAATGTTCTTGCGGGGGGACTGAATAGTCACATACACGCAGCATATACATGAGAACTCAATATACTGTACTTTATTTGTAATAACACTTCAATTCTCTCACACACACCCACATACATACGCACACAGAATCAGCCCCCCCTCCCCCCTCTCCTAAAATTGCGTGCTTATCTCGAAAATTATATTGTCTAATCTGTTAAATAAACAAATAACAAAGCCGAAGCATGTGCTTGTATATACATTTATAAATATACGTATGTCAGTGATGCCAAATCAAAGAGAGGCGAAAACATGTGAGTGATAATATCCATTCATTCTTTGTACCTGTGCTTGATGATGACAAAGGCTTTGCGTTGTGTTATGTAGATTACATTGCACGGAAAATTTAAAAGCTTTTCTGATTTGCGTGTATGACGTCTCCTAAAATAACTAACTGCAGGAGAGAGATATGATGATCTAAGAATTACAAACGATCGCGATAAATAGCTAGCTGTCTTACATTCCTCCCTTTTTCCCCTTTTGAATACCGATCGAGTTTATGGCATCCCGAATGCAGAGTTATCTAATGTGCATTCTCAAGCATCTATCTCATTGGGACACCACAGAATATTTTACTATACTGTATGACAATTAAAATAATTCATTCTTTTACAGAGCATCCTTTTTTTTTTGCAACAATTGTAAGAAATACCCTGCCCCATTAAAAATTAAAGTTTGGTACTCGTTCTGGGCCAAAATGATTATGAGCAGCTGGCTTCTGCTGTGGAACGTTTTAAGAAATAATACTTTCAATTTCTATTCAATTTTTGTAAATATTGAAAAGCCTCACGAAAGACCCTTTCTTGGTTATTATTGAACATCACGCCAACTTATTTTTAGAAACGCTGTTGTGATTATTGTTTATATTCTACATAAACAGGTTATTAAACCGGTTTTATTCACAAACGCATTTGTCATCGAGATATTATCAGAAAGATTGTTTATTGTTGAGCGATATGCTATATTTGGTGTATCCATTGTTGCGGTGTGTGGCTTTCCTAACGCGTGATAAGTTTGTACGATGCTCTACTACTCTAACTATAATTAGAAATAGTATTAACATGCTCGGCTACAATAGTTAGTTGCCCTTAGCCGGTTCTGTTCTTAAAATAATTACTAATGTCTGTCTTTCTTTTCTTGCTGCTTCTGTTATTGGTGGTTAGCACTAGCTTGCGGCCGCTGTCATCTTCTCTTTGTAATTGCAATGCAAAATGAAAGTCTTTATGTTCAATCCATTGATCCTGTGGTATCATTTTGTTGCACTTGTCGCACAAAGACATTTCATTAATACTCTTTGTATCACTCGAATCACTTGGCACGATGTCTGGTGCAGAACTATCGGTTGAAGCAGTCGCATCGACAAAAAATCTTCGTATATCGCCAGGAGATAGATTGAATTTATCACAAGATTCAGATAATCTGGTGTCTTCAATTTTTGCTTCAGTCTCTTGCAGTGTCTGATTACAATTCTGCTGCAAGACTTTGTCAAGAGTGGCTTGTTTCTTCATCAAGGATGATTCCGGTAAATTCTTGTGCTGCCTTTCTGTGGAGGCAATCTCGTGTGTGTGCATATTTATTTTATGATCACTGTTAGTTGCTGTATCCTCTCCTGCATCTCGACGTACGGCAACGAATTGGCTAATGTCAATCGTCCCTACGCTGTTATCTTTATTCAGCCCAGTAGCTGAAGCTGCTAATCTTACGCAAGGAAACGCGTATGCCGAGCTTTTGAACAGTGCCGATATCTTGGTCGAGATCGTATCCGGCGAAAATAATTCTCCTCTGCGGGGGAATGGGCATGATTTTGAGCGAGGTGCAGTTTGTGCAACACACCTATAATGAATCTAAAGATATCGCAATATTAAAACCTGTAATAGACGCTTAACCTTTTTCTTCGTCTCAACAGATTGAAACCTAATTATTGCAAATTCATACCACCAAATTTTTGGGCCAGCGTTGGTTAAGTTCGAAATCGTCTATTACGCGCGTATACAATTCTGTCCCAAGTATTGTAGCCCAGTGTTGGATCTGTTCCAAATTTTTCAATGGCGGACGGAATGACTTGGCCGCCATCATAGATTTTGCAACGTTTCTATGAACGACTAGAAAACATAACAGAGTTCGGTAATCGCATAAACAAAACACTACATGCAAGAGGGTTTCATTTTTCATGAATAAACACCTTCTTCACTGTCTATCCCTCGGCAAATACCAAAGAGCCACGCTCCTGTTACCCTGCCAAACCTAGTTTGTAGTTCGTCAACGCTAAACTTCCTATTAAAATGTTGAACAACATAGTCGTAAACCAATAAATTATTGTGTGGGTTGTTCATTAATCAGCCAAAACCATTTACCATAATTCTCCGGCAGTTTCAACTTGCAGCACATCTTCAATGACATTGCCCAGTTTCCCACCTAAATTACGTATTTTTTGGAATGGCATAGAATGCATGAAACCAAGTGTTTGACTGGATCTCATGACCGTCTACAGGAATTGCGTACAGGTTTTGATGGATTAGATTTCGGAGATACCAAAACTTTTCAAGTTTTCAAAACGCATACTTGTCCATTGGGCTTGTTCAACACAGAGCATAACTTTGCAAGAGTCTTATTATGAGCAATACCTATTAGAGTAATAGTACACATTTCATTGAGCAGCATCGACAAAAATTGATGCAACCCATCCAACAGCTTACCTGCCGAACAAGTATAACCCAATTCTCTGTATATACTGTCTCTTATCTCTGCACAAAGCTTGGCAGCCACGGCCAACTGCCAGTCACACCATTTATCGTTGTTGTCTATATGGGAATCTGTGGGCACAAAACTTGTTTCGCTGTTCTCGTAGATTGCCCCGAGGTTGGCCCAGTCCACGTCAGGAGCCTCGGAATTTTCATCTAAATTCGGAAACATGCCCAACAGTTTTGAGTTGACAATTTCCGTTACGTCCATGTACGCCTCGTCCACACTCGCACGTTCGACTATATTACAAAATCTCTGGAAAATCTTAAAGATTAACGCGCTTGCACGTCGATATGGATCTAGTGACACTTTATGAGTAGCGTAGCTTGGATTAAGATGGTATTTTGGTTCTTTTTCTCCGTTCGCGTACGTCGCAACGTGAACTAGTTTCAAGTCTGTCAAAAGAGAATTGATGTTTAGCCATCTCCATATAAAGCAAATAAAAATCATATCGGTATAACAAACATTTACCAGGACATGCAGCCAATGCTTCTCGAACAGTACAATGTCTTTGTATGCCAGCCTTGCGCGCGGCATAATTAACTTTAAAATTCAAAAGATATAAACTCACATTGTGCTAATAAAGTTTCAAGGAGGGAACAGCAAGCATACCTGCGATCAGGCCTTGCCATTGTTGAACAGCCAGCGGTATGTCAGAAGGAATCTGCAGTCGTACGTGTTCTATGATTTGTGCAGGTGTCATAATCAATGCTTGATGCAATTTCTTTGAGTTTCGAGTTAATATGTTGAAACGTGTCTACTTACCAACCTGACAATAAAAGCAATCTGTCGACAATGAATGTTAATGTTCAGACAAGTGTTCCGAAACGATCTCTAAAAGTTACATGCTACAAGCTATCGTACAAACCGAGATCTATATGAAGCACGACTCTTCGTTGACGCAGATATGAGGGTACAGTCGCGCTCTTTGACATTTCGGAATTTTTAATACCAATTAGTATTATAATTAGGGAGAATATAATATTACAGATGAACTCGTGACGTCACTTGCGTCGCGTGCAAGATCTTGGCGGAAGAATGTACTACGTCGGATTTGTCATAATATTTGTCGCTCAAAGAAATCGGGTAACCGTCGATTTGATATGAATCAAGATAATCTCTGTTATTTTAACTTGTACACGGCCCAAGTTTTGTGACTTTTGCATTACGGATTGTTGGCAGATTGAAAGAGAACAATGAAAATGTATTGTCAATCACTAGGATTCATTAGAATTGCTCAACGATATTCTGTTCACGGAAGGGCTTTTTCGCTTCAGTGTAGCTAATTATCGTTATATCCAGGATTGAACTATTTTCATTTAACAACTTGGAGTATACTTCTCTCTACAGTATTCATATGTTTAAACATAAAATAAGTTTATGTATAATCTTTAATCGTGCAATTGTTCGTACATGTTTTTAATATCACAGATACTGATTATGTTTAGAGAGCGTAGTAGTAGGTGATAATAATAATAGCCGTAAAAGCAACGTAAATTTCAGCTATAACGGTATTGATGCCTTTATCATTGTTTTATTACCCCAGTCACTCTGAACGTACTGTATCTCTGAAATTAATCTGTTATACTTGAGAATTACTAATCCCGTATTAGTATGGCGAATAAAGCTAGTAGTATACTTGTCTCGCGATTAGCTGACTTATGGGCTCCTGCCCACAACAATGATTTTTTAATGGTTACTTTGGTATGGATACTCTGATGAACACTGCCACAATTGTAAGAATGATGCAACCATTTCTTGTCCTAGTCTATTAATATATTAATAAAGTTTTCTCCTTCCGTTCATTGTTTTTCCTTTTCTTCTCATCTCTCTTTTCGAGCCTTTTCAGTGTTGTTATGAGGAGCATCTAATGACTCTATATTAATATACTCCATCTTTTGTTGAATGTGGTTTCTCAATTGTGTTATTTCTTCTTTTTGCTTTTTGTGTTGTCATAATTTTTAATTTTTTTAACATACTAATACTCATATGGCTATATTAAGTATATAATTATTTAATGTTTCCTTTTATTTAAGTTTTAAGAATTAAAAGCAAGAAAGATAAGCAACATTTATTGAAAGATCAACATATTACAGCACTAAAAACAAATTAATGAGTAACAAAGAATTTTATTCATTATCAGTATAGATTGGTTTGGGACAACTTATGTCTTTGAATTCATCTCTAACAAATATGGGCGAATATCATGATAAAGATATTCTTGTCTTTTGTAATCCAAAGGAGGCGGAGTTAGAACTAAAATAGAAAAAATGATTTAATTTTTTTAGTAATTCCAAACATGCTTACTTTTCTGGTTTTCAATAAATTAAATTCGGTAAAAGTACCATTATAATTAGCGACCAGCTGAGCTTTGACAACTCCAGGATTGGCTGCTTTAAATACAAAATGCCGATATTTTGTAAACCATTTAGTTTTTTAAAAAAATTACCAACACAGAGTTAAGATCTAAGTATTGAAAGTCTGCCATTTTCATAGCACTGAGCTTTGTTTAATCCTGCCGTACTCGATTTTTTCACAACTTCAACAATATGATTAACAATCTACGGTCGTTTTTCGATAAAGCTTTTTAATCAATCCGAAACTACCATCACATTTGAATTTAGTATGTCCAGGTATCATAAATTTTAATTCGATACTAATACTTCCATAATAACCGCAAATTACTAAATACGGATAAAATCAAATGGTAGCATTATTTTTATTCTGACCACCCGCGTTATCACAAGTAATCTTTAAATATTTTTCGCCTTTATTCAATTTCTTTATCCATCGAGTACCATGCTCAGCGTACCATTAAGACCTTTTCTTATTAATTCGTTCTCATCGAGAATGTAATTAATTTGTTCGCGTACTGCTTCATCTTGGATACCAAATAAATGTACTTTACGCGGACTGAGATAATAAATCTTACTTACTTGTTGATCAGAATGAGGTACGTGAACGTTTTGTGTCCAATCGTAACTGTAATGCACAGTCGCGTCAATGCTACAATAAGCTTTATCTCTTGTTATTATGTGAAAAAAAATCAATTTGGGCCACATATCAACAATGTCTCTATTGTCAGAATGGCTATTCAATTTCATGCAAATTTTCTTGAAGACAATTGAACACTCAAAAACACAATCTAGTAATTCCTGTAAGGGTGAAAGAAGATGTCAGCAAAACAGATATTTTAAGGTAGAGCATGCCTTAACAAGCATTTTAAATCCATACACAATGTGGCTTCTTTGTAGCAGATAGGACTGGAATAACTGTGAATGTTTAAATCAAGTGTTCAATAGTATACTATGTGCAGAATATATTAATATGTAGTCAATTACCTCATCCATGTTGACATATTTAATATTCTTCAGTGTTAATATCTGCAGTTATTGATTTCTTCAGATTCAAATTTTCCATCATGTTATGAGTTTGGCATTTATGTGCCAATGCTAATACATCCAATACATCAATTTGGGATTCCAGCTTGAAGATGATCTAAATATGCAGAATACAATTAACAAGCTGTAAGTAGCCAGTGAAATGATAATAATAAGAAGTTATTTACTCTTTTATTTTCAAGATCATTTTCTGCATCGCCTCGAGCTCGCTCTGCTGTAATCTGTTTCCAATACTTCTTAATAAAGCTGGTTTGTCTGTAAGGATAAACGGTTTCATTTTGTCGAGAAAACCATTCAACGGGGTCGTTATTTTTGAAATACGAAAAAGCCACGCTATCTATGAACGTTGATGTATAAATAACAGGCGGAGACATAACAACTACTCGAGATTCTCAATCAAAATTGTAGAGGCAGAATTTACCAAGGTCAAAGTTCGTGGTAGTAGACATATTAGAAAGTACTCCTTGAGATGGGAAGGTTAGACAGTTGATACATGGAGGACACGCGGCGTGGCTGTGAAAATATTTTTCAGGACATCTTATCACCAAGTCACCGCACGTGGTTTTGCGCCCCATATCTAAGCACATCATATAAAAACCTCTTCATTAGCACACCATGTTTGAGAACCAATTACTATGGAACTTATAGGAAAAACCCTCTATACAGTCACAACCTCTTTATAAGCACATTTTCAATAAAAGTTGCATTGTTCCCGACTGTGTGATTATAGGGGGGTACGACTGTAGTTAGAAATTAGTTCTCAACAGATATAAAAAGGCAGCCTCCCTGGCTGTGAACCTAAAAAATGAAATGACTTGAAAAACAATAATGGTTTCTAACTCTCGACAAACTGAAATCCAACTGATCGTGCATCTGATAATTTTCCGGGGATTGACTTTTCCGCAGATGTATCAAAAACGGGAACTCACCCCTTCTTAGAGTCACCGGTTTCGCCTAAATCTTTAAGTAGGTCTAATTGAGCTACGCAAGATTTTAACTGGCGGGAGAGGTAATACAGAAGTCACGCGCCTGCAACCGGTGCTAGCAAATTCTTGTTCTTTCTAATCCGAGTTTCCCTTCGTTCTTTTTCTCTTCCTCCAAAAAACACATATGGTAAGATTGTTTGAATCAATAGATTACTACTTATACAGATATAACGGATCTCTTACTATCTCGATTTTCGCTTATTCCATTGACCATAGGCAACACCATTAATAATAGGCATAACGATTGCTGGCGTTGCAACAGCGGGTCGATATGCTATCAGAGCCATTCAAAAACATAAACCAAAGCTACCCCAAATGCCAAAATTTACTAAACCGTCTCAGAGTCGAATGTACAAGGGTGGGTTTGATATAAAGGTTGATAAACGTGAGGCAGCATTAATACTAAACCTGAAGTAAGTGTTAACAAGTAGGGGTGAATGGGATGTGAGTGAATTTATTGCATAAAGCTGTTTGTAAAATTGTATCACGTATTGATGTATCTTGTCTCTTTTCATGACGTTATGTATTTAGGGAAACTGGATTGAGTCAGGCTAAAATTAAAGAGGCTCATCGTCGTATTATGCTTTTAAATCATCCTGATCGTGGTGGATCGCCTTACCTGGCGACCAAAATTAACGAAGCAAAAGATGTCTTGGAAAAGGTCGGCAGATCACAACGTTGATAACAAATTCTTGTCTAATATCACGGGATGGGATGGATATCAATGCTCATTTATGTAGAATCGACATTTCCGCTTTAATTAAATAGAATTCATTTCATCCCTTTGTATTCGCATGTGTATGTAACCCGCTTAAAATTAGCATGTACCCTGCGAATTGGTATGTTCTAACTCATGTCACAGTGAGGTTGAGCAATAAAAGTATTACTGTTTAAACCACAAGATTGTATTTCAACTTTTAAATTTAGCTAATAGGCAGAGAATTTCGGGTACTGCAAGTATTGCGAGGATATGACAATGCTAAGAATGAGCGTACACGAGCACACGAAAATCAGTTTTGTATTTGATAATCAGTGGAGCAGTCTACGTTTCGCATTATCGTCATTTGACGTAACACAAAAGTATCATGTTCGAACGATATTAATATTACAAAATTAGATTTATAGTATTGTACTATAAAAAATTTTTAATTTTGTAATATACACTCACTGGACAAAAGTCTACGTAATTTTTGTCGATCACATAGTAAAACATATGAAAAATCTATTTTTTCGAA